CAGATCTGTTAAAAGTGAATAACTTTTAGTGGGTTGAACAAGAGCAGGGGAAGAGAAGCGAAGGGAGAGAAGGAGAGAAGGCTGACAAAGTCGGACGTGTTCTGGTGGTACTTAGAAATTTGTCAAAACAGGGCATGGCAAAAAGGAAGTCTGGGGAACGTTTCCTGGCAAGTGGGGTTCAAAAGTGGGTTTCAAAGTAGAGGACCCCAACAAGTTGTTGCCCTTTGGGCTGCTCTTTACAAACCTTCAACCCAAACAAAAGGGCATATCTGCAAGGCTTTTGGTTCTTACGGCATGAGGAAGCGACCCAACTCCTAATCTCACCACCTGAGTGGATTGGTGAGTCCAAACTTTTGATTTGCCACTAAAGGGGCCCGCAAAGCGCATTCTCTCAGCAAAGGGACAAGACCCCACAAGTGAAATACCCAAGCTTCTTTGGAGAGACCCACTGCCCCCCTCCCCCCAAACAAAACAAACAAAAACAAAATAACAACACGTACGTTATAAACTTGACGTGAGAATATCCCCTTCCAAACCATCAGAAGAATTGGTCGGATCGCGGGTTTCAAAAATCCGCTGTCAAAATGAAGATACCCCAAACAGTAGTGTTTTGGTCCAGCCATCCATCAACTTGAACTGGGGGTCCAACACACCTGAGCATTTTATAACACAAAGGTTGCCCAGCCCTTGTAGAAAAAGGAAATCCATTTTCGGCTGACAAGTCTGGAGGGGAACCCCAGCAAAAAGGACAGACAAAATGTGCCGCTGAACTTCTGGTGTTGTTTTTGAGGGTACCATTTTCGGGGTTGGTGTGCAGCGATGCCAAAAACAGAACCAAACAAACGGGCGCATTTCAGGGGTCAACATCCCGAACTTCCGGTGAGGGTGCCAGTTTCGGGGTTGGTTCAAAGGGAAGTCGGAAAAAAAAAAAGAGTCGGGGGAAAAAAAACGGACATGGAGGGGGGGTCTTAAAATCCCTGTGAGCCAAACCCCGAATCTCCAAACTCTCCATGGAGCGAGCGGCGCGTTTCAGCGCGTCGCGGCGCAGGTACGCACGGTGGCGTTGGCTCAGCGGCCCCCAAAGCTGCACCTGCGGGTGCGAGAAGGCTCTGAAAAAAAACAACTAAAAAACAAAATGCGCTGCTGGGTTCCTTTCGGGAGAATTCAACCTTGTGTCTTTGTGTTGACGGTACCTTGGTCTTCTTAACGGTACCCTTTGTCCTTTTGTTGCAGGTACCCTTTATCAGGATTTAAACGGAAACCCTAAGACAGCACCATCGAACATGAATCAAGGCCATTCCGCCGTAAGGAAACGCTCTGAAGTGTGCAATGTGCGTTTGAGAAGCCAAGAATTCTGGCACTTCCTGACGTATTCATGGGGTGGGTTCGGGGATGAAGGTTGGAGGTTGCATTGCTATCACCGACGTGGTACACGTTACGTGATCGGCAACTGTTCAGCAATGGTCAAATAGCGATTCATAGTTTCCCTTGTTGGCCTTCCTCATACAGGCTGACGTTGGAAGACTGCCCCTTGCAAACATGGCCTGATCTTGTTGGCAATCGCGGAAGTGCACAGGACACTTCCCCAAAGCTCTCCCGCTAAAGCTCCTTGCCGCCTCCAAAAGGATGCTCACGTTAAAAGGACGAGCAAAGGGCATGGGTGCGACCATCATTCAGGTTGGGGTTCATGTCCACCAGCCGCTTTTGAGGGGGTTCCAACACTTGAAATTTACGGCCATGTAGGGAACCCTCTTAGAGGGTCATGCGCACTCAGGTACACCCCATACTTTGGCTCTCTCCGGAGAAGCTCGACCTGGTAAAAGATTCCCCTCTCAGCCCAGTGAAGTTCCATGAAAGAATGCCACCTTTTCATTTGGTACCTGGCGTCTTCATGACCCTTAATGACACGTTCATTCAGTAGATGACTTTATTTAAGGGTCATGAGGACGCTAGCTAGTTGCATTTGAGTTGAAGGGGCCCTAGGCCCTAGCAAAACAAACCAAAAAAGAAAAGACACCCCCTTCCCCCCCCTTCCTCCCCGCCCCCCGCCACTACATGTCTGGGAGGCTCAGGCTTACCAGGGGAGGAAAAGGGCCTCTGTCTGCGTGACTTCTTGCCTCATGCACATCATCCTCGCGGCGGTATTGCAGAAGAACGCCAGGGCCAAAGCTGGTCTGGACGCAGGTGCCCAAAGCACCTGACAAAATGGAGCTCGGTTTCAATCCACCCCCAACGCACCAACTCAGTTGCCCAAACCGTTGCAAGGAACCGCTAATGGACCAGGGCAACCAAAAGGCTTCTTGGTCGATGTTGACCTCTCTGAAAGCTGAAATCACTTCCGACATCTCCATCCGGAAGGTCGGTGGCTCCCTTCAAGGCACACAGAGCAACAAGGTGAGGCGACCCGTCGTTTGTCTCAGACTGACAGAATTGGTTCGGCTTCAACACATAAGTCATGCACCCCGTCTGTGCGTCCGTGTCCAAGTCTGTTCAACTCCTTTCAGGGTGGAGTGCCCACTTTTGTGATACTGTGGATGGACGAAATCCTGCACCACCTAAGAAACCTTGGGAATGATGATTCCCCTGTAAATACCAACAAACAATGGTCCTCGTTTGTGTCTTGGGTGGTGCGAAATGGATTTTGTCCATCTACAGTATGGAGGCCTTCCACATAAATTCTCCAAGGGGAGGTTTCTAGCGGGAACCCCTCGTCTTCCTCAGGGAAGGGAATGACTCCCCAAACCGATCTGCTTCGCTTTCGGGGGAGCCACAAATTCATTCCCGAGCCCCGATCTGGATCATTTCATGACTTCCATGTGCTTAAGCCCAAAGGAGAAAAACCTATTTCCAGTGATGGTCCTTTTAACACCAACAAGGGAAAATACAAACAAACCTATTATTAAGCAATTGGAAGATGGTCATTGCCTGCCAACCAATCCCTCCGATTCCAAGCGGCAGAAGGAGCTGCGCCGGAGCTGGTCTGGCCGCGTCCAGCACTTGGCGCGCCCATGCTCCAGGCGCCAATCCAGGTCCACCTCTGAAACTTCGCTGGAGTCTTCCATTTGGTTAAGACCCCTGGGAAAACAACATATTTCTAGTAGTCATAGATTCCCTTTAAACCAGCAGGGGAACATAAAACATATATTTGCTGTCTCGCCCCTCTGAAAAAAGACAAACAACCTATTCCCAGTAGTGATAGATTCCCTGTAAAACCGACAAGAAATAAAAGAAACATGTTCTTCAGTGAATGGAAGCTTCTGACAGCACCCCCTCAAACATATTCTCACTTCCTGAGTGGATGGCCCAACAAAAAAGTAACCAACCTTTGTGCTACCACCAAAATGGGTCCAAGCCAAAAAAGTACCAAGTCCAGGAACGCAGGGAGTCGATTGGTGACTCAAACACTACTTGGATCTTCGATCGCAAAACATGGGCCCGGTCGATCAAGAACACATTCCGGGTTCATCGTGGACCGGCTGGTTGATACCTGGAGTTTCCATGAGCCTTGGCTATGGGGCCATGGGCCTTTCAAAATCCAAATCGGTTAGCCCCCAGTGAGCATCCGATTCAATCCAACCACTAAATTAGGCTTTAAGATGGGTGGTGAATTCACCTACCAACCAAAATACCATTGGTCTTGACCCACAGCCAAATGGAGTCACGAACCCTTTCTTTTGGCTAATGACCAACCATTTTTTAAGGGTCATAGAAACGCCAGGTAGAAAAATCAAAAGATTTCCCGAGTCCGGGCCCACAACTGCGCCACCCCATCAGCTCAGCTCGCCTCTAGTTGGTTTTCGGCCTCCTTCACGCACACGCCCCAGCCGTAGGGCGTCTCCACCAAGCGACCCCGCCATGGGATCTCCATGGCGGCGAAAAAAAAGAGAGCCGATGGCCTGGCTTACCGGGGCCCGGAAAATGCCCCACCGACGCTCAATGGCTCCTTTGGGTGAGTCTGGCGCCGAGAGCTTTGGTGTCGTTTGTGGAAAAGTGGCCTTCCGCCGTGTACGATCTATAAAAAGCCAGCCACACAGCTGGGCGCATTTGCCCGAAAGACAAAATGAGGCTGCAACGACTGAGCGGAAGGGTCTCTTTTGTCGGAAAAGCGTGGTGCGATGTTGGCCTGATGGCGACATGAAGGGCTGCCCGTATTCCGGACCTCATGATGATGCATTATGTTGGTAAATTTATGGTTCAAAAAGTCCGGTAGTATGGCTCAAGCACATCCCAAGGATTCCTGGTCTGGCAGGCTGCTGAATTGGGCATCCGGCGATGCGCAACGTTCAAGCCGGGAGGAAGAACTGCCCAATCGCGTCCTACAACTACCTTGGGCCATGAGGTGCGCAGCATTGCACAAAAGCGACCACAACTCAGCTTGATTCACCCTTTGACAGATGCGCCCAAATGCCAAAGGCCGTGTCTTGGTTCACGTTGGAAGGGGAGCAAACATTTAAGTTTTAGCAGTTAAGTGCGAATTTCCCACTCAACCACAATAAGCAAAAATGTAACATGCTTCCCAACAACAACCATGATGTGTTGCTTCAAGAATCATCCGCTTCGCACTTGCCTGAGCAAACGATGCTTGGGGAAGTCAGCTAAATAGTCTCCCAGTCGCTCGGAAACCTATGATGCCGTGCAATCAGTTCCAAGCCTTGGTACTTCAGCAATATATACGTTGTTCTTTGCACACTCCCTAAACTAAACAGAAGCAAACAAGAAACACACAAAAAAAAAAAAACCCACGCCCATGAATTCCTGTCCAACCCCCCCCCCCCCCCGCAGTGAACCCTGCTCAGCTTTCTCCGAACTCCCTCCGGCCTAGGCCAGGTGACTCTCAGAGCCAGCGCTTCAAACCAACCCACGCAGGGCTGCGGTTTCTTGCTCAGACGCCCAGTGGATTTCCATTTGATTTTTATTTTTATGTATGTTTTTTAAAAAAAAAAAAAAAAAAAAAAAAAAAAAAAAAAACGGCATCTTTTTTTTGGGTTGGTTGACATAAAACAGGGCACTGGGCAACTGGGGTTGCTCGCGCGCGTTGGCGAGCAGCTTCCGAGTCCGAGGAGGTAAGTCGACGGCCGATCTGGGCGACAACATCCACTCCAAGACCACCGCTTTCGTCCAGTTGCCGAAGAGGATCAGCTCTGCTTCTTGCCGTCCATTTCCTCCAGATGCTAGAAGCAGTCACCGAACACACCTTAACGGAAATTCAACCAAAACCGAAACACATCGGCTCTCGCGATGGGTGAAAGGTGAGACCTTGCAGTACTTGGATTTGCTCAATCAGAATGCTTTAGGGCTTGCCTCTATTAATCAATTGCACGCGGGTGGGGGGGGGACTATGCAGGCTTACCGACTCGGCAACATTTACCCCTAGTTCTGGGAACCTTCACCTGCAAATTGGTGGTAAATTGGGAGTAAATTGAGGGGAAATTGGGTGCATATCTGGGTAAATTTGGGGGACATTTGGCGAATTGGGAGTAATTTTGGAGAAATGTTAGGGGTAATGTACCCCCAATTGTGTGGGAAAATGACCACAACCTTTGTGGGAAATTGTCCCCCAATGTTGGTGGTAATTTACCCCCCAATTGTGGGAAATTGGGGGGTAAATAACGAGTCCAAACATTGGGGATAAATCTTTGTATACCTTTGGGAAACGTGGGATTTACACCCAATGTTTGGACTCGTTATTCCATCAAAATTGTGGGAAAATTACCTCAACAATTGGGGGTAACTAATCCAACAAAAATGGGGGTAAATTACCCACAAAAATAAGGGGGGGGGGGAAATTACCCACAAAATTGGGGGGGTAAATTACCCACAGAAATGGGGGGGGGGTGTAAATTACCCAAACTTGGGGGGTAAATTTCCCACGAAATTGGTGGTCAATTTGTGGTAAAGAATTACTGCTACAGGCAAGGCTTAAAGAATACCCAACAATGACTTCCAAGACCAAAACAAACAAAAAACACACACACACACACCCACACCCACACCCACACCCACACCCACACCCACACCCACGCACGCACGCACCCACCCACCCACACAAACACACACAACATTTCAACCTGCAAAACAAACAGCAGTCCAGCCAACCATCCCCCGGTATTCCCCTTGTCCCGTCGGTATTCTCCGTTTCCCGTCTGAAAAGCCCATGGGAAAATACCCAGAACACTCCCAAGGGCTTGTCGAGATGCCAGCCAAATTTTGCAGAGAGTTGAAACCCCAATCCACTTCTGCGGCTAAATCTTCAGTGAGTCATCCAAAACCTGTGGACGGTTGCGAAAAAAAAATCGCATCATCGTTCAGAACCCCTGGCTTATGATTCACCTGCAAATACTAACCTCCGATGCCCAGTGGCCATGGGAAAAAAAGCGCACCCTTTTTTGGTTGGTTGAGTTCAAAGGGGAACCCTTGCCCCAAAAAAAGGAAAAAAGGGCACCACTGGGCAACTGGGTAACAAACTGTGACGTCCCATGGCTTCACAGTGGCGCAAAAATGGCCCGTGCTGTGTTCAGGTCAGCGGGCTGGGCCCGTGCTTGAGACGTGCTTGAGACTTCATTGGAATCTTTATGAACAGAAACTCGCGAATACCGTAATTGTTGGCCGTGCGAAAGGCTGCCGATGCACTCTGTTGCTAGATGGTTCAAGAAGTCCGGCAGTATGGCTCAACATCCCAAGGTGGTCTCACATGGCAACAAAACCAACAAAACCACCCATAAGGATGTGGGATCGCAAACAAGGCGCTCGAAACCGACCCAGTTTTGTGGCTGCGGCACACACAGCCCATGTTTGCGAACGCGCTATCGCTTGAATCAAGGGCAAGGCCCTTGTAATGGATCCAACAAAAAGGACACATTGTCAATACGGACCCCCACCCCCCAAAGAAAAGGCACATGCTAATTTCCAGCTGAATTCCCTTGCCCAAAGCAAATCGAACCCTCAACAAAAAGGCACACTTCCTTCCCAAAGCAATCCAAAGCACTTGATGATGCTCAAAATGGCCATGCAAAGGACACAACCGTTGACGACAGATTGATCTGTTAAGTTCGCACCAAAAGGAGAACCACCCTGACTAGCATTGCTCCTCCGGAGTGCGAACATGGAACAAGCAGTACGTATACTGAGCCCCCCTGCTTGTTGCTGAAACTAAGCGATGTCACGCGAGCCCTGGACCATGTGATACTTGTTTGCCCTTGAAGCACGAAGGAAAACCTGGGTGCCCTCCAACGTCCTCCACAAACTACAGACTACCAATGTTGCGAGTGCTGCATGTGGGCTAGGAAGGTCTTACGAAAAGGCAACTCAAAGGCCAAAAAGGACTGCCGCATGAAAAAATCGCCTGACTCAGCACCCTAAAAGGCAACTCAGGCGCTGAAACTGCCTGTGATTCTTGCAAAAAGGTCAACCGTCAAAACTTCGAATCTCTGCGTCATGGCCACGGTTGCTTCCCTAGGTCCTTACCCTCAATTTAGGGACCGCTGTTTTGAGATTCCGCCCGGTTGTGTCAAGCCCATGGATTCGGGTCTGTTTAGGACTGGTTGTTGGGTGGGCTTGGGCCGGGTTTAGGGCCGGTTTAGGGCTTTGTTTAAGGTTCGCTTAGGGTAGGTTTAGGGGCTCTTCCGGGACCGCTGTTTTGAGCCCAGGCGTTTCGACCGATGTGGAGAAAAGGTCCTGAAGGGCCAGGTTGATCTGCGCGATAATCATCAGCACCCCAGCCACGCAAACCTCGGTTCGTTCATCCGTTGCCACAAGCAACCAACCTTGAATGTAGTATGTCATATACTCTTAAAGTCAGTATATGTAAATACATTTATATAAGCACATGCTATATATGTGTGAACATACAACATACACGAAATACACATTTGAAACCTGTAGTGAGAGTCACACAGACTTGTCCAAGCTCAAAGCCGCGAACCGTTCCGCCAAGAAGCCAGGTCCAGGCAGCTGGCGGCTTTGAGCTGGGCTGCGGCGTCCGTCAGGAAGGATTGGCCCCCGAGGACCCCAACGAAGGTGGTGACCTAAATTCCCGCGTATAAGGCGAATTCCCGGGATCGGTCTTTTTTGCGTGGGGCTTTGGGAAGCCGACAATAGAAACCACTTTTCTTTTTGGGGGGGGGGGGTGTTTGTGGGGGTTGGACTGGGGTGGTCAAAACTGTGTATACTTTAGGATTTAGGGTAGACAAAATACGTGGCCATGAATTTTAATAGGGAACCAGCCCAAAAGACCTAAATCCCCCAAGTGATGTCCAAATAGTTCGCCAGAATTCATTCCCGTATAAAACAGAATCTAAACATGTGGGGTGTGTCTTTCTTTGGGTCACACCATTACTTGGTAAGCTTTAAAATGGAGCCAAACAGAAAAACAGCTCTCTCTCTCTCTCTCTCTCTCTCTCTCTCTCTCCCTCGTTAAAATCGGAGTTACAATTACTACAAGTACAAGTGCAATGCTGTTGTTGTTGACATAAACAAATGTAGTCTGCTGCAGCCTTCCTTTTCTACTGCGGTAGAGCAGAGGCTCAAGGCCTGCGGCTGTTTTCATACATGCAACACAAACCCGAGTGGTGAAGCATGTAGTTTGACACGGCCCCTCAGTGAAAAGATCTTTCTGTAGTATCTTTCAACTGGAGTGGAAAACAAAGGATTGCCAGTAGTGATGAAACTATTACTGTTGTTCATGCATGCTACTGTAGTGAAAAGAATGAGGTGTAGTCCTCAGTAGCTCACGCTGTTCAGGTTTCAGTCCAGAATGTAGCTCAAGCATGTAGTCCCCAATGTTGAAGCCGGTAGTTGTGTACCTGCTCCAGTCGGTGGTTTAAAGAGGCGAAGTAGTTGGTCACAAAGTAGTCGGTGAAGCCCGGTGCACCACGTAGTCGATTATCATCGACCTCTGGTGATGCTATCTGTTGTTGGTAGTTGCGGAGGTGGTTGTGAAGTTGCAGTCGCTGTGGAGGAGTGAGGTCTGTCATTGTGAGTAGTGTGAATCCATAGTAGTGGATGCTTTTGCAAAGGATTGTAGTGATTGCTTTGTGTTGAAAGTCCTGTAGTTGTTGGTGGTTGTTGAGGTAGTGAAGTATGTCAGGTAGAAACAAGGGCATGTGGTAGTTCCAGATGTAGTTGTTCTTCAAACTGTAGATCTCAGTGAACCTGCCCATGTCATAGTCCACCTTTCAGATGAGTTGTGAATGTTGTGAGATTGGAAGGTAGTGCGTTGTCTGGATGGAGAGCATGTAGGAAATGTAGTCGCGGGTGAAGTGGAGTAGTTGTCCTGAGGTAAGGTACCTCAGCAACAGTTCTTGCTCAATCTGTAGCTTGACAACAACGTAGTTGTCTTATAGTGTGGAAAGAGGTGGTGTGGTAGTAGTCCACATTGCAGGCTTCTGCCATGTGCTGAGTTGTGCTGAGTCGTAGTCTGGCAACCCGGGGCGCACTGTAGTGGTCGGTTGCGGTCGAGTTGGCTGAGTGGTGTCGACTGTTGTAGTGAGAGTAGTTGGTACTCTTCAAGCGTGAATGCAGTGAAGAGTTGAACATAGTGAGTGTCGTTGTGGAGAAGTGGTGCTTGAGTCGTCTGGTACTCCGTGATGTGTAATTGTTCTGTGATGGCTGATGGCTGGTAGTAAGGTGTGGTATTGGGTGTAGTGTGGTTGAAGTGGTAGTTGTGCTCGTTGTAGCTGGGGTGTAGTGACGCCCGTAGTGGCATCAGCACTCGACAGTCCAGCGGCCATGGCTGTAGTGGGCACAACAAAGTAGTGAAACGGGGCAAAAAGATGAGCCTGAGTAGTGGCTATCAGGCAAGCGGCACATGCAGACATGTAGTCAAACAAACAACTGTGGTGTTGACTGAAGAACCAATCATGCCGCCAAAAGTGCAAGTGACATTACATGTAGTTACTGTTACTTACGTACGAAAAGTGTCATGCTACATGTAGCTACTACATACAAACAAGTTTGAGGTCGTTGTTGTTGTTGTTGTTGTTGTTGTTGTTGTTGTTGTTGTTGTTGTTGTTGTTGTTGTTGTTGTTGTTGTTGTTGTTGTTGTTGTTGTTGTTGTTGTTGTTGTTGTTGTTGTTGTTGTTGTTGTTGTTGTTGTTGTTGTTGTTGTTGTTGTTGTTGGTTGTTGTTGTTGTTGTTGTTGTTGTTGTTGTTGTTGTTGTTGTTGTTGTTGTTGTTGTTGTTGTTGTTGTTGTTGTTGTTGGTTGTTGTTTGTGTTGTGTTTGTTGTTGTTGTTGTTGTTGTTGTTGTTGTTGTTGTTGTTGTTGTTGTTGTTGTTGTTGTTGTTGTTGTTGTTGTTGTTGTTGTTGTTGTTGTTGTTGTTGTTGTTGTTGTTGTTGTTGTTGTTGTTGTTGTTGTTGTTGTTGTTGTTGTTGTTGTTGTTGTTGTTGTTGTTGTTGTTGTTGTTGTTGTTGTTTGTTGGTGTGTTGTTGTTGTGTTGTTGTTGTTGTTGTTGTTGTTGTTGTTGTTGTTTGTTGTTGTTGTTGTTGTTGTTGTTGCTGTGTTGTTGTTGTTGTTGTTGTTGTTGTTGTTGTTGTTGTTGTTGTTGTTGTTGTTGTTGTTGTGTGTGTTGTTGTTGTTGTTGTTGTTGTTGTTGTTGTTGTTGTTGTTGTTGTTGTTGTTGTTGTTGTTGTTGTTGTTGTTGTTGTTGTTGTTGTTGTTGTTGTTGTTGTTGTTGTTGTTGTTGTTGTTGTTGTTGTTGTTGTTGTTTGTTGTTGTTGTTGTTGTTGTTGTTGTTGTTGTTGTTGTTGTTGTTGTTGTTGTTGGTGTTGGTGTTGGTGTTGGTGTTGGTGTTGGTTTGGTGTTGGTTGTGGTGTGGTGGTGGTGGTGTTGTTGTTGGTGTTGGTGTTGGTGTGTTGGTGTTGTTGTGTTGCTGTTGTTGTTGTTGTTGTTGTTGTTGTTGTTGTTGTTGTTGGTGTTGGTGTTGGTGGTGTTGGTGGTGTTGGTGGTGTTGGTGTTGTTGGTGTTGTTGGTGTTGTTGGTGTTGTTGGTGTTGTTGGTGTTGTTGTTGTTGTTGTTGTTGTTGTTGTTGTTGTTGTTGTTGTCACTGAGTTGTCTGCAGACATGGGGACGATGGGGCAGCAGACATTGCGATCGCTGCCGACGCTCCTTCGCCTGCCTTGTGCACCGCTGCTGTTGCTGCTGCTTTCAGCGCAATCTCTGACTTCCCCGCCGCTTTTGCGCCGGTCTGCTGATGTGACTCCGCTTTCGCTTTCCCCGACATTGCAGGCCTTGCCTGTGCTGCTGCCGACACCTCAGGCGCTGAACAACCCGGCACCAGCACCCTACCCTTCGCCTTTGCGCCCACCTTGTGCTCGTGCGCCGCGACTCTGCTGCCGCACCTGCCTGCGCCACTGCTGCACTCGCTGGCGCTTCCTGCACTGCTGCGCCCGCTTTGAGCACCTGCCCCGCCTGCACCCAAGCGCTGCGCCCGTCTGCGTAGGACACTTCACCCCCGGCGCTGCGCCCGTCTGCTGCGTTGCATTCAGCTTAGGCTCTGCAGAGGCCATTCCTGCGCCTGCGTGTGCCTTTGCCCTTCACAGCTGCGAGCGCCTTGGACACCGCGTAAGGCACCCCCGCTTCTGCAACCGCCCGCGCCGCTACTGCCGGCTTGTGCACATGAACAGCAGCTGGCCCACGCGGCATTGCCTTTTGGCTGGATGCGCTGTTGCCTCGGCATAATCTTGGGCTGCGGTTTCTTGGCTTCCTTGGCTTGTGTGTCAAAAGGCCCGAGTAGTTCTATTCAACTTGCATCATGGTGGACAGGAGAAGGGTTCAAACGTGTTCAGGCTTCACCACAGAATCCACTAAAATGACTAAAACGGTAAGGCTTCTCTCATCATCCATGCTGGAGGAGGATACCCAGGCGGCGTAGGCGCCAGCTTGGCAGGCGGCACATGGCCATGAGGGGGGGTCCGGGGGCCGCTTCACTCGCCATCCCGCTAACGATCCAAACAACGGGCAGCGCGCGTGTGACAACTGATTTGGGTCCGCAAGCCGGTTCATCGGGGCAACAAAAGTTCGACTCATCGCTCCACTCCAAGAACCCTCTATTGCCAACCAACTTCCCCGCGCAATCATCAGTCAGTCAGTCCTCCACGCATCTCCAGGGCAAAGGGCAACAGGCCGTCAGTGCGAGCGTGGGCTATCTAAAAGTTGGCATTGATTGGGTTCCTTGATTCTTAGAGATGTCGTTTCTGATATGGTCGTGGTCTGTGCTGCTTCAGCAGTAGTTGTAGTTGTGGATGTAGTTGTAGCTTGCTGGGTGCCGTTGAATTGGCGGTAGGGCATTGTGATGGTCAATGTTGCTGCTGCTGTTGTTGTCGATGTTATCCTGCCCCGGCGCCCTAGAAAGCTAAACTTAACTTACATAGCTGCTAACGCCATGCACTTGGCTCTATGCACTTGGCTCTGTGCACTTGGCTCTATGCACTTGGCTCTATGCACTCGGCTCTATGCACTCGGCTATGTGCACTCGGCTCTATGCACTTGCCTCTATGCACTTGGCTCTATGCACTTGGTTTCATGCACTTGGCTCTATGAACTTGGCTCTATGCACTTGGCTCTATGCACTTCTATGCACGGCTCTATGCACTTGGCTCCATGCACTTGGCTCTATGTATTTGACTCTGCGTAAGTGACTCTATGCAAGTTGGTCCGAGAGCTCCGCGCGGAAGAACCCTTCGCGATGCTTTCGGGGGAAAAGAAAAGAAAAGACCCCCAACAAAAACACACACACACACACACATGAAGTGTAGGCAAGCTTGCAACTCCATGCGAGCTTGCCTGGGCAATAGACTGCAAGGAAAACTGTGCTCGGCAAGAGGGATCCTAGGATTATTTCCTCGGAAAGCCAAATAAGAGCCGTAGCTGTCTTGGTTGATTCTTGTCTGATTGTCGTCGAACCAAAGCCTCAATGAAGCGAGACTTAATTGAGCTTGCAACCTTCAGGACCCTCCTTGTTTGATACTTTCTTTGCAGGGCCGCCCCCTTGAAAACAAGCATGTTGGACGCTTCAAAAGTGCTTCAAGGTGCTATGCCAGACCTCCCAAAATCTATCTAGAACCCTGGCCCTTGATTGCAACACTTTCACTTCCGTGCTCCCCTTCATTGCCATCATGTGAATGCAACAACATATTTTCAAGACTCAATTTGCTGATACAATAGCCCTGTCAGAGTGCCAAACTTCTCCGTGAATTTGGGCAGTGACACTATTATATAGACAAAAGCCTAAACAAACCTAAAAACCGCCAAACAAAACAAAACAGGGGCAACCAGTTTGCTGGCTTGATTTTGTTTGCTGATCATTTTCAGCAGCAAACAGTGCCTTTGTGTTGCAAAGGAACCTCCTGGAAACTTCAAAGAACCGTCCGAAGTCTAGGCAAAACGCCCAAACCACATCTCTTAGCTTTTCGTAAGAGCTAAACGGGCAAACGAGAATGTGCTAGAAGTTTGGATAGAGTCAGCCAGCCTCCAACTGTTGGCCATGCACTATGGTTTGTAGAGTTGAACATGGACTCATTGGGGGGAGATTCCCCTCAAAACCAAATGTTAGTCAAAGAAGCTGGAGGTGGGTCAAAAGTTCATCAACTGCAGACCGAGAGCGTTTACATCTTGTCACCCTCACGTCGGCCAAGTTGCAGCGATGCAAGCGCTGGTCAACGCGCCTGCAAGGCCTGCAAAAGAGTCTCACATGTTGAAACTGGTGTAATGTTGACCCCAGTTTCTTGATAGGGCGTGTCTCTGGGTTTAGTGGTGAATCAGACCACTTTTGGAGGGCCTCGAGCCCCCTATACATAAACTGGGGTTGATTAATTTTGGGGTCACCATGAACAAGGGCGGAGCCAACTGCCCGTTCAAAGCGGGCTCATCAAACTAGGCATCTGGAAGCTAAATAGGAGGTCTGGAAAAGGCAATTGCCCGCCCTTTTGGCCAAATCGTTGCATCCAAACATACGGCAACCACTGTTGCTAAAACCATCATCCTTGAACGTGTCCCTGCCATGAAAAGCGTCAGCGGCCCCCGATGAACACCGCAAGACGCAACCCTCATTATTTTACAACGATCAAAGTCACCCTCTAAGTTGCGAGTTGAAGGGAAACAACCCCATTTTCTGACTTTGATAACCCTTAGAAAGAGTCAAAATCATGACCCCAGTAACACCCGCTGCTTATTTTCAGGGGGTGAGTGGGGGCATCCTTGCTTCCAAGCCTGAGGGGTTTGTATCAAGCGCTTCAACCCAACGCAAGAGCCACACATGAAGGGCATCCTGCTGGGGCGGTCAATCAAATGGCGAGTTCTTTACGCGCAAAAGATTGAAACAATATCGTGGTACAGTCCTGTTCACAGATCAACCGGACATTCGGGCATGAATCTATACTGAAAATGAACAAGCCATGTTTGTCCACCTCAACATACGTCAAGACTAGCTCCAACAGAGCCAACAAGGTACTCCCATATCTACACTTGCCCAGAAGACAACGAATCGCACAAAGCCCGCAACATAATGAGTAACAAGGGGAATTGGAATAAGAGGGCACCACTTCTTTGTTTGATTGGCGTTTCAAGGGAAACACACGCTTCATGCAGATTCAGCCGAATTGAGGGGGAACCCACCCTCAAAAACAAACAACAGAACACAACAGGGCGCCGACTCCAGAGATCTGCATTCGGCGTCTGGTCATCAGCAAATACAGGCCTTGCCCCAAAGGCCCTGGTGCAAGGGTAGCAATCTGTTCGGTAAAGAAACACCAAAGGAAACCAACCAAACTTTGCCAGGTACTAAATTTCCCCAAATCACAACTGGCCAAAAACCCGGTGGTTTCCAGTGAAAGAAACCAAACGTTCGGAGGTTCCGAAACGGGACATGGAAAAACCACCCCTGTCTAAGACATTTCTGGAGGTTGGACTCGGAACGGAGTCGCGGCCTTGCAGCAGCAGCCAGCAGGGCCAGTCCTTCACCCAAGCCATTCGGCTCCGCCACCTTAGCCGCCGAGAATGGGAGATCCTCCACTCAGTAGAATCACCGCTTCGCGTAGAGAGTGTGGATTGCCTTTTTTTCCCCTAGGGGTTACGCGCTCTCTGGGGTCTATATATGCTTGTTTTTGTTGTTTTGCTTTGATACTTGTTTCTTTTACCAGTTGCCAAGGCGATCACTTCCGTGAATGGCAATCAAAACACAAAGTTGAGGAAAACATGCAGCAAGTTGTTTCGTTTGTACCGGAACAACAACAAACACAAGAAACAGCTATCCCAGCAACCCTGATTCGAAGCTCTTGAGTCACAGATTGCAAGTGCCAATTATGACATCTAGCCCCTCATCGGGATCCTTGAAAATGATGCTCCTCTGCGCCGATATAGCTGCTTCCGCTGTTTTCTCACAAGCGCAATCCTGCAACATAAGCGAATTTGGCAGATGAAGCACGAAAGCCGCAACCACACCAGAGACGACCAGCCACCCACTCGCCAGCCCGCCCACCAGCCACCCAAACACAAGGTACGGAACAGGCAGTCAGCCCATGTCAGCTCGGCACTTCGGCAAATCCATCCAAATCTCTAGGGCCGATGGACTTTCCCGTATCTACTCTACACATGCTTTTGGGTAATGAGTCTAAAAGGCTTGCTGTTGTTCATTTGCTTGTCTCGAAAAAGGGGGCTAGATCCATTCTCAAGCTATGCACTAGCATGCTGATAACATCCTTGCTTCTTGACATCCCTTCGAGGAGCACAAATGCATCAAGCGGCAACAGCTGTTTACATGGACTGAATGTCGGAGCGAGCGGGACATATTTGGGTATGGGTCAAATTTAAGCCGGCAGGTTTTGGTCCTTGTTTCCATTTACCAGGGTTCCATTTTGGGTACGTATGATTCACCCACAGTCATTTGACAACTACCCGTATAGAACAGTGTAGTACAATTCCAAGGCCTCAATTGCCCAAGGTCGTGCTATGAAGGTGGCATATGCTTTGTTTCTGGTCCCCAAGATGGTTATCCTTTGCTGTGCGGGCTCATTGTGGACAAGTATGACGACTGGCTCTCATGTTTTGGGTTTGTTAGGTCTGCAACTGTTTGTCCGCACCCCCCACAATCTATGAGCTGCCCGTGCATTTCCGCCATGCCGTGTCCACTCAAGTTTCCCTGATTTTCGGGGTGCAGATTTGGGTGTGTCGATTTTGTGAGGGTACCCTTTTTGGGCTTGCATTAAGGGAAACCAAGAGCACCCGACAAAAAGCTAAAGAGGCCCTTGTTGCCAAATTGGTCGATTTGCGGCGGAGCGGCATTTCCTGCACGCTCCACTCCATGCTCATGTGGAGGACCTGAACCAAGGATCTGTCAAAATGCCAGCACCAACTTGGCAAAAATCCGTTTAGAGGACACACATATGTTTCTTATATATATATATAAGATAATATTATATATATATATATATATATATATGTATATATGGAAAATATAATGTATGTTCTGGCTGGTCAGGCGTTGACAGGTTCAAAAGGATGGGTGCAAGCATGCTAACGTTCGCCCTCAAGCATGCTCGTGAAGCATACCAATCGGCTGGAGCCTTTGAGCTTAGGTTTGGTCGGTGCTGAGTGAAACCAGCGAATCCTTCCTTGTCCTTGAGTCGTTGAGTACAGAAGATGTGCTGAAACAGGGTGGGTCAGTCCCTTGTGTTGACCTGTGTTCAAACCTCATTGCATTGCGAGTAGGGAGGCTTTCCTTGCCTCCGACATCTAGCATGACCTGGTGTGAGTTGCCGGCTTGCTACTTCATATCTTCTTACGCTGGGAGTGCTGTATTTGGCGTACATCAACAGCTCCTGGGCCCACATGCTGCCTTCTTGGACTAAAACCGATTTGCCTTTTGTTTTAAAACCTCGCTGGAAGACGATTTGCCTTTCAAACATGCACTGTGGTATTGCAAGATTTACGTTACTTGAGAAAATAAGGGTATATGTATATTACTCTCCTGGAAATTAACCAACAATTGCTTGGAGCACTCATGTTGGAGATGTTTGTCTCAAGGCCTGGCTATAAACGTTGAAGCAACCCGCTGGAAATGCTGGAACCTTCTGATCAAAGGGGCTCTCCATCGAAACCAAAAAACACAACGTGGGTTGCCCTCTGTCCAACCTTGCCAGCCATCGTTGGACGAAAACAAGCTCGCAGTTCATATTCAAGCAACGCCTCATCAGCATAACGGTTGTGGTCAATACTCCTTTCGGGGGGGTCATGGTTAAAACAGGTGGATGACCATGCTTCTACAATCTCCTTTCGTTTTCTTTCCGGTCAGGTTCCCAACCGGGAAATCTCGGTTGACACAACTTTCCTTGATTCACATGGAACTCCACGAGAGGGCACCTCCGTTTTGGGTCCCATGTGAACATTTGCATCAGAGTGCACACGCCACAGGCCGAACAAATGCTTCCTTGCATGAAACGCGCGACGCGACTACGATTCGCTCCAAGCGTCGTTCAGCAGGCCCCACAAGAAGAGAGGCTGCCAATTGGAGGCACTCACATCATGCCAGACAGCGGAGAACAGGAAGATCACCCAAACGTTCAGGAATTTCCACCTCCTGAAGGATCGAATACATTTTGCTATGCATTTCAAAGGGATCCTCCAAGGTCAGAAGTTTGTCAACGTTGCAAGTGCAGGTACACATGGGTGCCTCAAAATGAGGGCCAGCAGGCACACCTCCATGTCGTTGCGTTTCGCATTGGCTTCATCTAAGTTTTTGGCCCCGGTCTGCTGGAGTATTTCATGGGGGCTGGGCAAAAAGGGAGGGGGGGGAGGGAGCCCAAAAGCCCTAAATAAGCCCTAAATAAGGCCTTATTAAGGGCTTAATAAGGGCTTATTTGGGCTCCCTCCTCCTCCCCCTCCCTCCCCCCCAGCCCCCATGAGTATTGGGAGGGTGTTTCCCGCCAAACATAATAGAGGTTGCCATCTAAAACGGGACACCTCTCGACTCTCGAGCTCAACATTAACGGCATCCACAAGCGGGGTCACCTCAAAGGAATGGCAAAATACATCGGCTCGTCTGTCACTGGTTGGTTTGTATTGCCTTCCATCATTACCTCATGATTATGGTGTGGCAAGAGTTTCGACAAAACATGTGGATGCGAAGGGTGAGACCCTAGTGGCAACTTTGCTTCTTGTAAACAAAGCAACAAAAAACAAACAAATAACACGTGACTATGTTCATCGTATGTCAACTTTGATTCGGGAAAACACACAAAGATAACCTTCATCTTGCCGCTCACTGACAACATTGATCGCTGCATGCAATTTCGCTGTCCTTCCTCCCAGCGGCACATAGATGTACCGCACCACCCAGCGGTTGAAGGAGCAGTGCCAACTCTGCCAAAATCCCGTCAGGGTCAGGTGTGTATTGATGCCTCGAACAGCAGGCTTTCAAGAACCAAGTGTTGAACTATGGTCAAGCCGGAATTGGCCAAGCGTGCAACTAGACATGAGTTGACCTTCGTTTTTCATGAACGCCCTTTGTCTCCGAAAGCAACTCCGCCCTGCTTGGTTTGAACATATTCTCCATCTTTATATACCCCAAACCCACAGTAGACGACTCAAATGACGCTGCGTGGTCGAGACAACGAATCTCGGTTCATGTTAGGCCACGGCAAGCATGTGATCCTTTTTGGGAAAACCGCTGCGATTTGGTCTTAGTTGGCCCGAGGAAGGAGCCCTCTTTGAGGGCAAATACCAAATCAGACTGAGGACAGCTGCTTGCAATTTCGGATAACCCTTTCAGGACCCCAATCGGTTTTGGAAGAAAACAGGCCGACGAAAAGCGCGGTAGTTTCAGTGATTCCCTGCAAGGTTACACAATTCCTACAGTTTTGCAGTTTCGGTGCATGTGATGTGGGTCCCATTTTTCCATCCCCCTCGCCACAACCATTGAGGCATGGACCTCTTCTGAGCGCGTTTTGTTTGTTGAGATGCGCATCTTAATTGTCTGGTTTTCGGACTAGGCTTACAACACATTGGGTGTGTGTTGTGTTTGAAGGGCACGTTCCCCTTTGTTGGTGACTTTAAGGACACAAACGGCAAACCAAAGAAGAACCGCCATTTTTGGTCGGGGGGGGGTCCTTTAAAATAAAACACACCCATATCTTCGAGTGTGCAAACAATCTGGGCTTTGCCCTAAGGTCTTCATACTCCTCATGTTAGCAGCCATGCACGAACCAAACCTGCTAAAGATTGGCTACATGCCATGTTACAATGCGTGCGGGTTTGCCACGCGCTACCTTTGGGTCCCATGCCCATTGGGGGAAGTTTATCATTCTATGAGGGGTTACACAACTACTAACATTGGTCTGCTAAAATCATGACTTAAAATCAACTGCTTGTAGCACCCCACAACCCCATTGGAAGGATTGACATCTTCACAGGATGTCCTACCTTCTCCCATCATTCGCCCTAATTTGCAACCAGCAAAACCACAGCTGAATCTGCCAGAAACAAGAAAACCCGAGCCGTCAAAGAAGCAACATCATTTTCAGACCTGATGCTCCCCCTTCCCCCTCCCCCCACAAACAAAAAAGAACTGAGCTCACAAAAACAAAAAGAACTCCCCCCCAAAAAAAAGATACCAAAAAAAAACTCGCCTCACATGGTCTAGGTCCTCCAGTAGAGGTTGGAATAAGGGTGCCCTTTTCTTTGTAGTTTATTTTAGCGGAAGCCTCCCAACCAAAACAGGGCAGAGAAGGGCACTACTGGGGCACCTAGTGGTTCTCCGTTTTTCGTTTTTCTCTTTCCGCGGCGCAGTGGGGCAGGTTCTCCGGGGGCTGCAGGCCCTCCACCAGCGCGAAGGTGCGGAAGAAGCGCCAGAGCAAGGCGAACTTCAGCCACAGCCCGGTGATGGCGCCGTAGAGAAGACCTGCGGCCATAGAGGGGGGGGTTCAGCGGGAAAAAGGAACCGATCTTGGACCCTGGTCATACTCAGGAGAATCCAAAAGAACCTGTTTTGACACAAAAAAGGGCTAGGAACCCTATAGTTACAATAGAACCGGTTTTGGCACATGGGTGTGAACTTTAATTGGGGACCCATTGGTGGACACCATTTAGGTTCATGTCCACCAACCACTTGTGAGGTGGTTCCCTATTGAAATTCATGGTCGCCTTTTGGGAAACTCCGACATGGGAACCCAAGAGAAACCAACATGGAACCCCAATGGTGCTTCGTGTCTTGCTTCCGTACAAGGAACCCACGAGAAATTTGATACAGGTGCGAGTTGTTTGAGAGAGGCGGATTTCAAGAGCCTTGCTTCGGAGGCATGCAGTGGGGATCCGTGCGTGGGCATGCAACGGAACGGGAAGGCAGCGCTTGAGGCTTCCGCAGCTCCAGCGCTAAAGTCGCAGCGTTGGTAGCCCTGGGGAAGTTAATATTTTACAGACATATAGCCCATGTCACCCAAAAAGTCGAAAAGTTGTGTTTTTAAGAGGTAAGTTAGTAGCACAATGTTGCACAGAGCAAAGTGCATTTCTCCAGCTCGACAGGTTGCAACTATTCAGCGCAAGGCACAAAGGGGGTTGCTGGACCCGGGCCAGGGGTGGGTATGCAACGGGTATGTAAACAACTATGTTACGAGGTACAACACAGAAGGAGGATTCGTCCGACCCCTCCCTGAGACCTGTTCCAACGTTTCTCCTTTTAAGGAAAAACTCTCTGCAAGTTGACTCTCCACAGGTATGTCCAGAAAAAGCATGCTCTGTAGGCATGGGGAAATCAGCCTGGGTCTGGGTATGTAACGGGGTATGCGGCAAGTTTGGTTTTGAAGGAGCGAGCTTCTGGGCGTCAAACTGGGGCTCTGAGACTTCACATTTTGGGTTGTTTAGCGATATGGGTGGGTCAGGAGTTTGTTCAAACTCACGTTAAAACCACTGTCTAAACGACCTCCTTTGGTGTCATGTTGAATCAAGAAATCTAGGGACTGGGGACTGGTTGTTTGAGCAACATGTCCCCATTCCTGTGTGGTGTTTCATCTGGTTCTGGGCGGGACTGTCCGCTACTAGCCTGGATCACAACAAGAACAAGCAGCCCACCTGTAAAACCAACATCCCTCATAGATTCGGACCGACTTCACAGTGACATGCCAGGCATGTAGCACAAGGAACCCCTTGAGCTGCAAAGCAGAGGCATACCATTTGGAGAGCCCTGGGTTGGTTCGTGAAAAATCCCCACGAAGCATCCACTAGCAGCTTAGCAGGGGTCCTTGTGCTGACGCATTCCCATTCGCAAATATCAGCATCCTACATGCTCCCCTGCAGACCCCGCGGAGAGATACCAACGCCGCTTCACATCTGCCCCCATCCTGACAATCCAACGACACTTAGCTTAAGTCCAAACACATGCTTCTCCTAGGAATCTAAGCCATCGTGTGGTTTATGCTCTAGTGCTGTAGGGTCCTTGCATCTTTTGGCAAGTGTCATAGTATAACCATGGTTTAGGCGTGTCACTCTGAGCCCAAACATATTCATGTGGTAACGCTGGCTCATGTGCATCGAATGTCAACTGACTCTGTCCAGCTTTCCTGTCAAAGCAAACATATGCAATCAAACATGTCAGCATTGCAGCTAAAGCATACTTGAGTTTGTCTCCAAAAGCGGACTGCCCCAGAACAAAAAACAGCATGGGTGGTGTCCATTTCAAAAAAACAAAAACGGATCCCAAAAACATAGCGCATGGTTCACCAAGTTGACACAAGGAATCGCTGCTAAAAAGAAAACATAGAATGCATTGCCTCAGGCGAGGTTGTGTCATGCTCTCGGGCCCTGAGGTCAACTAGGTCCTCCAGATTTGAGAGGTTAGAATAAGTTGGTACCCCTTGTTTCTTTTCTGTAGTCTATTTTAGTTGGGGAACCGAATCTCCCAACCAAAAAAGACGGTGAGAAAGGGCACTACTGAAGAAACCTAGTCAAGTAGGTTGACTTGTGAAGGGAAACCGAAGCAAACGAGCCAAAAGTGCTGACCCACTTCATCCGGATCCCTGAGACACAGAACACGCCGAAGCGCTGGCATACTGTCGGGGTGAGAGGAACGACACGCCCGTCTTGGTGAGGGCGAAGAAGGGAGCGACCATCAGCAAAAGCTCCTCCGAGCCGGACGAAAAATGGACAACCCTGATGTTTTCGTGTCATTCTTTTGGAAAAAGCCAAAATGGTGGTTCTCCTTTGGTGTTCCTTTAAACCCGCCAACATGGATGCACGAAATCCGTTCGCGTCTTTTTTGAAACCGTGGTTGAAACCATAACGTGTGTTGGTATTTGCCGGGGAATCATTAGAAGCCAGGGTTGCTTAGTTGGTGAAGGATTTCGTCCATCCACAGTAGGTTTATGTTTCTGTGCAGGAAAAACACGTTGGTTTATGGACAAACCAGATAAATCTCACAGAATCAGGTTCGGTAATCACATTCAGGAGCCCCCGATGTAGACCACAGCCCGAGACAGCCGGTTGCCCAGAAGGATGATTCGTTCAGTCTCATGCCCTTTGGGAAGGAAGGAAGTGCCAACCTGATTCATGAGCAAAGGACGGAGTTGTCTGTCTATCACCCAATCACCTATCTGCAGACCTTTAGTGGAATTCCATGCGAAACAAAGGGCACTCAGTTCGCTTTTTTGTCGTTGATTTTCAAGAACCCCACCCCCTCTCCCCCCCTCAAAGAAAAAGAAGAAAGAAGAATGCAACCCACTAGGGGTGTGGAATCAGATTCAAGGCTTTGCTCCGGCCGCGGAAACACCGACGTTGGCACGGCGCAAACCACAAAGCCAGCACATCATCGGGGTGCTTCTGAATGAATTACTAGCCTGCCTTACGCCAATGGTCATAACTAAGCTTGGTTTTGAAGTACCCCAGAACCCTACTCCAATCATTTAGGCCCTCACATCGCAGCTTGAAACGCATGTCTCTCTTAAGGTTCCAGGATGCTTGACATTTGATCATTTGCGGTGGCGGTTAGCTAAGTACACAATACCACTCAGAATCCATCATTCCACCCCGTGGGTTTGTCTCAAAATAGGGGAACCCCCACCCCAAAACACAAATGGGTGGTCTCCTTTTGGTTTACCTTTAAAACCATCCAAACAGACTACAGTAACGTCAAGACACACCCACATGCAAGACAGTGTCTTTGGTCAAACTGACCCTGCCAAAAGTTCAACTTGGCCAACGGGGACAACACGCTGCGAAAAGTACCCAAGGGGTGATTTTGGTGAAACCAAAGAGCAACCGGCATCCCTCCAGCTGTCCAACGGCTTAGTGACCGTTGGGCTACTTTGGCGGGCACAGCAAGGACACTCGCTTGGAATCTCAAAGTTCAAACAGGCTTCGAGTGGGGCACGGCGTAGTGAAGCTTACATGAATGCTGTCGTCTCCTTTGGGAGTTCTCTCGAATGGAAAACCAAAAAATGAAATCCTTCCGAACTTGGCAGCTGCTGGTCGAAGCGGCTTCGAAGCTACCTTTGGACGCGTCAGTTAGTTGGGAGTCCACTTCAAACGTGAGGCGCAGCAGAACTCTGTCACTTCCAATAGGCGATTCAATGTTGCTGTTGGCCAAAGTTGCCACGAAGAAATCGTTGTTTCTCCTTGCACAGTAAGCGTTGAAGCCTCTATGGGCAACATGGGGGTTGTGTCTCGAGTCGGCACCCTTCTTAGATTGGCTTAGAGGGCAGGCAAAAGGCATCCACCCAGCTTGGGGGCACCCTAGTTTGACGCTGGAAGGGGAGCAATAAATCAATTTTTAGTAGTTAAGTGCCCAACAACAACCATGTACCCTAGTTTGACACGTACCCTGTCAAGCATTGTAGTTCGTAGGTGAATCGGGCTGAAAACTCCGTGCCAATGAAACCCGGCTGCCAATCTCCGCACCAAAACAGTTTGTGCAATGGCACAGGCACCAAAGAGCCATCTCCGCTCCCGCTTTTTGCTACCCCCTTTCAAAGCCAGCATGTGCTGCGGCACCAGGGCCCTTTTTAAGGAATCGGCCATCTGTTTTACAACTCCCTCAAAAGGGAGCCACTTAGAACCCGGACAGGCCAACTGGCTTGGTCACAGCACTCGAGTCATTTCAACACCTGTCCAACCGTGCTTTGTTTGCAATGTCCTAGTAAAACCTAACAGAACCCCCAAAACCTAAAAACCAGAAAACATGCCAACAACAGTGAAGCATGTTAAACAGGGCTTCCTATATTTTCACCACACCGAAAGGAAGAGAGCAATTCAAAGTGGTCAAAACGACGATGTTTAAAGCCACTTTGGGAAAAAGAAAAAACAACCTCAGGAGCCCTGTTTTCGGTGTCTGTAGATCAAACTGTCGAGGGTGCCATGTGCTTGAATTGTTCCTGGGGAACACGGGAGCAAAGCTAACCGTTCCCAAGCACCCAACAGTGGTTGGTAAAGAAACATTCCCAAATTCCCTCAGAACAAGCAAGTTGACGGCTGGGGAAACTCACTTCCTGGGTGGATTGACAAAAACAACAACGCAAACTCACTTTTTGCTACCACTAAGCTGGTCCCAAAAAGTTGACCGTCCAACCCAGAGAGCAAGGTTACATTACTGGCTCAAAATCGAACCACTGGGCCACCGCAGGTTTTAGTCCATGTTTCCATTTTCCAGGCTTGCATTCTGGGGGTTGCCCTCTTTTTGCCCCACACCCTCAAATGTTGGTCGGAAAACCCCACGCGTTGCGAACGGAGTCCTGAAGGAGCAACATCAGGGCCCAGCGTGCCGCATAGCCCCAGGGCATCTTCCCCTTGCCTTCCTGCGCCGCGAAGTCCTGGAAGCACCTGACCGACCGGATTCGTCCCCAAAATTGGATTTTTCGACGGGGGGGGCATCCCGACTTAGCGAATCTGCAAACCCATAAGGGACACCTGTTTCCTGTTTGGCGGACTTTGAGCGTACCAGCGCGCGCCATGTGAAACTCATTGATGCCTGTGTAAGGGACACCACTACAACAAAGGAAACCGAACCACCAGCTTGCACAAGGATGAAGGATCGGCAATAAACACCCCCGGCAAAAAAGGATGTGACTTTCTGAGTTGACTGACCACAAGGCGTTTCTTGGCGGCCTTTGAATATGCGCGCCGGTTCCCTGCCAACCAATACCTCCCAAGGGCGAATTTGAATTTGGGACCTTGAAACTCATGACCAAAGGTCCGTTACCACACCCCCAACATGCAATACCCCAAAGACAGTTAAGGGGAGCGCAAAGGCTGGCGTTTTCGCAGGGCAAATCCCCAACAAATCTACGTTGTGCGGGTTGCATGCCTAAGCCCAAACGTCCAGCGCCGAAGTCTCCTTCTGAATCTGAAAAAATGGGGTCATCTACCACTGTGCCACAGGAAAGGGGTCATGACCCCACTTTCAAAGGGTCATGCAGACTTCAGTTCCCTGTTGCTTTGTGAACTTTAGAGGGGTTATTCCTTCCAAAAGAAGCTGGACAAAACAAAAACACACCACTGGAGTTCTGGGGAAGAAGCGCTGAGTGATTGTTGCTATGCGGTTGGAAGCCCCCCCAATAATCCCTTGCGTCCCTGTAAACCCAAACCCGTGTTTCTGACCATTTGGGCAAATACTGTTGAAGTGATGGCAGGCTGACGTTACGAGAATGGCTCCATTTCGTCTCCAGGCGGTTGCAGCGCCTTTCACAATTCCGGGCTCACGACAACAAACAATGGAACCCCAAACATCAGCTTCGGCTTTCCTTTCGGCTTCGCCGAACAACGCGTAGCAGAATTCCAAAAACGAGCGGGTCACACCCATTTGTTATAAACGGTCTACCTCAGCTTTTGCCAGCCCAAAATGAGATGACTTATTCTGATCCATATTTGATGAACCTTAAAATGTAAAACCATCCAAACAAGACTGCAAATAAGAGGTGGGATACCACATGTGCTTGCCACTCTGCCTACCTGAGCTTGTGCCCCCCAAAAATGTAAACCTTATCTGGGCTGTCCTCAGATCCCCTGCCAGAAATGCTTAACTCTTAGTGGGTTAAATGGAAACCCAACCACTAAACCAACTAAAAACAACTACGAAACCTAAGGAACCGGACGCCTCGCTGGGAACCGCCAAGAAAAAATGGCCCCAATCGCATCCACTCGAATCTTCAGCCGGGGCTCATAATGGGCCCAGCCAGCCAAAGGGCTGGATGGAAGAAGTAGTCCACCACCTGCCTCAGTCGATCAGACCAACACCAAGCGCAACCTGAGCTTGTCTCGTCAAAGGCGTGCAACTCGGATTCAAGCACAACAAACGGGAGTTTGTGTCGTCAAAGACCCTCAAAGACAGAGCGCAAGTCAAGGATTCAAGTACCCGCATATATTGCTCCCGACTTGGGTTCGGCTCAAGGGGCCCGATTTGTGCTCATTTTTTCTACATACCACATTGTTTGAGGTCAGGGCTGGTTTGGGCAAGGCGAACCCCTGATATGTTTCCCCTAGCTTATTGATTGCTGCACTCGGAATTGGGAAAATGGATCTTGTCCGGATCCGAAAGGTCCGAGCAAGTGGGCACCAGGTGAGTACCCTGATGGCTTCGGTTTTCCTGTCCTTGTTTTGAAGCATAAACTGCCAAAGTTACGCCAGCCGTGGTTCAAACAGCTGCCCAGCCTCATGGTTCAAATCCAAGGATACCTCAACACTACAAATGCAGGGGCGAGATTTCATGGCAGAATCCTATGCCACCCCGGAAAGCACATCATAGTTGGGGTCTTTTGTGGGTACCCTGCTTGGGCTTGGTTTAAAGGCAACTTCACTCCGCCAGGTGCAAGTCCCTTGAGGGTCGCCAAGTTTAGCCACTCTCGAGCCGTTAACGGCGGGTTTAATAGGTGTCCGTTTTGGACATAGATGGCGGTAGATGATTGCACCACCAGGTAAACCAGGGATTGCCCTTGATGTTTCAACTGAACCAGAAGGACACTTCTATTTTATAGTTAGTAGGGAGCAGTCAAGTGTCCACAGGTTGAAAGATGACAGTTCGGTAGTACGAGCAAACGAGATCCTGGCTTAGGCATGTGGCAGAGTCAACCTCAGCGCTTGTCTGGGGCGTCTGGACAAAGCAACAGATTATCCATCCCCTGTTGCTTCCTTCTGTGGCAAACAGTGAGTATAAAAATGACACCTGACTATTTATCAAAGTGTTTTTATTTCAAAATCATTAAAATCCTGCTTTTGGGCATGAGCCAACAATTGAGAAAATCTCGTGTGGCCGTGTTAGCACTCAGCAACCGGGAAAATTCAAACAATCTCCTGTTGGTCTGCTCCGTTCAAATTGGGCCCAAATCAATTAAGATTTGGTTGTTGCGTTTTAAGAGGACCAAGCTTAATAGTTAAGCACCAAATCAACAAACTAGTCATCCCATCTAGGCCTTCTTTGTCAACACCACCAAACGAGTCCTCCCCTCTAGGCCTTCTTTGTCAACACCACCAAACGAGTCCTCCCCCTCTAGGCCTTCTTTGTGAACACCACCAAACGAGTCCTCCCCTCTGGGCATGCTTGTTGACAACACGCAACTTGCAATTAGTTCTTGGCCTTTCTGTGGACAACACGGCAACTTGCGATCAATTCATCCAGTTGGGTATGGGTCAAAATTGAGCCACCAGAAAAAAACGCAGGTTTTGGTCCATGTTTCTGTCTACCGGGGTTCCATTTTGGGTACCTATTTTTGACCCACAGCCAGTTCAACTCCCAGGCGCGCCAAGGTTTGGTCCTTCCAGTCCGCCGCCACGCTCACCAGTCCTCGGTTGCTTTCTGCTCCCTGGTCTAAAAGCGACTCACTTTTAGTGGGTTAATACGGAAAAAGTGACAAACTTTTAGTGGTTTAATTTGGTTTAATTCAGAAACCCCCTCTTAGTTGGCAAAAAGTGAAAGTCCCAACATCCCTTGGCAAAATGCACCAAGGAGTCTCAGCGCCACGTACTTGGCCGCCGCCCGCCAGTCGTGCAGGCCACCGGGAAGCGCCGCCCAGTCCGCGTCCTTGAGGTAGAGCAGCGCCAAGGCGAGAAACCAACCTATCCGTTGACCACATCCATTTGGTTCAGACCCCTTTTTTATGATTTCCAGTAGTGATCGATTCCCTTTAAAACCAACAGGGGAAAAACATCCAGTAGTGAAATCGATTCCCTTTAAAACCAACGGGGGAAAATAACAAGTATTCATTTCAGCAAATGGAAGACCATGCCAAGATGTGAATCCGGTGATCCAGGCGAATCAACAACTTGGTCTTCTTGCATGGCAATCTCAGTAGTTATGATCCCTAAGCGTTACTTTGATCTTCTACTCTTGAAAATCCGGCGACCCGAATTGTAGAAATTTTGGATGTCGGGCTCTGCTTGAGGCTTCCTTACAAAGTACTCCGCATCAGAGGTCGCTTATAAGGGCTTCCTTACATACAGGCAGTCCGCTGATCATGCTGATCTCTGGCTCAAAAAGACTGCTTATGGGATAATGTCACAGATCCGGATCCTTCTTAACTTAAAACTCATTGTTGGGGCCAACTATCCGTTCAACACTGCAACGACGCATCCGGAACGGTGTCCCTTCAACTGGGTCTACCGTCATGTGTTCTTAAGCAAGAAACTGCAAGTCTCGGAACCACAAATCCAGCTGTTTGGGACGCATCCATCCGTCGCAAGATTGGGACAAACGCGCACAGACACACAAATGTCAGGTGTTTGAAATATTAAGATGCCACATTTAGAGCCGGGCAATCTCCTTTTGGAGAAGCCCCAGTTTTCGATACCATGTCCAAACATATGATGATATCAGTTCTTAATCAGGGATCCTTGAAATAATTTCATCCAAGTTGAGCCCCTGTGCAAGAATTTGACCGTCGCCCCTATGCAAGAACCATTGAAGCAGGGAGGTTCCGCCAAAGAGAAGCGTCTCCTCACACCCGGTCAGCTTCCGCGGTGGGACCATTGGAGAGAGAATAGGGCAGGGCTGTCGCAAATGGAATCCACGTCTGTGATACAAAAAGAGCTTCCCAAAGACTGACCCCCCCCATATCACAGAAGTGGCACAACCCTGCTTTAGGTGGCTTCCCATTTTTGGGGAATGCTGTTTCCGTTCCTTGGCGTTTTGGGTCTGCTCATGTTTTAGTGGGAGATGTGGCAAACAGAAGTGGGATCCCCAGAAGTGGGAGAAACCCCCAGTGATCCCACCACCCTGGCAAAGGGACCCTGCTAATCGGCAGGGATCTCCAAAGTCGCCAGGCGGCTGATGAAAACCCGGACGGCGCCGCGGCGAACGGCAGCCACTGCAAGCAGGCAGGCGAGAAAGACCAAAGCGCCTGCGACGTGCCAGGGCGCTCGGGTCCCCACCTCCCAGGTAACAATAGGTACACATGTATCCACATGCGTATCTGCAATGTACATGTGTATATGCATGAGCATATATGGCCATGGCTCAAAATCCAAATCGTACCCCCAGTGAACATCCCAATCCAACCACTAAAATAGGTTCTAAAATGGGTGGTGCATTCACCAACCACCCAAAATGGTACCAAAAAGGTTTGGACAGCCACAGCCATATGTCTATGTGGAAAGCCACACCCGTCCGCGCCGGGTCCGTGGAGCACCGCCGCGAAGCCCAGCGCCAGCGCCGCCCGCGCCCTCCGCGCCGTCGGGAGAAGCCGCGCGCGGAGGAGGGCGAGGAAGCCCAGCGCGGCAGCGAGCAGCGGCAGACGCTCGCGGAAGGCGCGCCACCTCGCGGAAGGCGCGCCGCCGGCGGACGGCGCGAAGGGGGCGCCAAATGATTTGGGTGGCCCAAAAGCAGCGACCAAACTTGAGGGAAGACACCAGGTATGTGAACCAAATCTAAGCACGAGGGTGAGCAAGGAATTCTTCAAAGCAAAGGTTGATGAATTGACAGGTGGTTCCCAATGAAACGATAGCCACTTTTGGAGGTTACAAACAGGGAGATGAAGGAAACCCTGCTCATCTGTTCGTGGGGTGGACAACGTCACCCCCTTCATGGCTTCAGTTTGCCTTTTGGTGTCCCCCATAAAACCCAACCGAAAGGGGGCCCTGTCAAACATGAAAGAAAGACGCCGCCTGTGTTGAAGGAGTTGTTTTGACCCCGCCGTCTTTGGCTTGCAACTCCAAGCGGCTGTGGATCTGACAGGTCCATTGGGAGGAGCCAGGTGTCTCGCAGCAGCCGCGCACCTGGCAAAGGCACCACAGAAATATATATATATATACATTATATTATGTATGTATGTATGTATGTATCATGTACACCCACATTTAGCCTCCAAATGCGTCAAGTGTCGGCATACATTGCCTACATGGATTTTCTGGGTGGGAAGTGTTGTTCAGGTCGCTTTTTACGGGTCCAAGCACCTAAGGATGGCTTTTGGGGGGGGCCGGGTAGGGTTGGGTGATGTTTAGGGTTGGGGTGGCCTGCCACCAACGTCTTCCCGTTGACCATCCCAAAAGAAGCTTGAACACCCAATCCCGCAGGTGCGCATCCCCAAAAAAAAGACGCTGCCAGCACGGATTTGGGTGTGAGAAAGGTTGCCACGGTTTTTTTTTACTTTGGGTGCCACTAAATAAAGGCTCCTGCAATGGTTGTATGTATCTTCTCTTGGTTTTCAGCGGAATGGTGGCGACTGGACACAAGGTGACCATGAGCCAACATTCTCCCAACAGGCCTCGTTCCCTGCCCGAGTTCTGGCATGGCCAGCGGACCTGAAGTGCCTCAAATCACTTCGTCACGTCGTTGTATCGGCTTTTTCCTGATTGGCGCTTTGGATTGGTGGGTTGTTCTGGTTTGGGGTGGCGTCTTGAGTGTTTACCCGCAAGAGCCCGGGGCTTCAAATCCCACCACCAATCCAATCACCAAAGGGCTAAGGCTCGCTACTAACCCGTGCTACAACCCTATGAACCAACCCTAGCCTTATAGACTTCTAACAAGGTAGGATCCGAACCAACCAGCCCAACGCTCGCGGTTTTATGGCCCGGGCGCATTGCGGCCGGTTCTGGCAGACTCGGCCGGCGTCCAGCCACGATGGCAAGATCGCGGTGCTAAAGAGGAGGACGAAAACGCTGGACCACAGCACCTCCAAAGCTTTCGGACCCTTCGCCTTTTCGTCTTTCAATATAAGGTCGGCACGTGGTTAATAAACCGCCTCTGACTACTGTGTCCTCAAATGCCGAAGCTTTTAGACCCTCCGTTTTTCTGAGGCTCATAACCCTCAGGGTCTTATGAGGATGGCTTTTGGGGTTGAAAAAGGGTCTAAGGACCTCCTTAGAAGGTACTTGGACCCTCTGGGCAATCATAACTTGGTTGCCGGAACGACCCCCCCCCTGCAAAAAGCTTTTAACTTTTTGGGGGTTTAGTGGAAAACGCCTTGATTTTCCAAAAAGTTGAAGTCTAAAGATCCAACCCAATAGCAGTCAAGATAACGGTCTGGTCTGGTAACTGCGACCCTGATCTCAGATAATTCCTGGTAGCATACCGTACCATACCGTAATGTCGGCATCTGATTCATAAACCCCCTCTGACTACTGTGTCCTCGGATGCCCCGCTGAAACTGTAACTTTTGTGGATTAAATGGAACCCCCCACTCAACCAACTACAAACCCGAAAACCTCAGGGGACGGCTGGGAACCGCCAAGATCAAAGACACCCAATTTTCCCCTCTGAGTAACTTCTCACCTAACAGAACCCCCTCTGACTAAATATGTCTTTTCGGGCCCAAAATCCAAAAGCACAAAAACGCATAACTTGAAATTACCAAAGCTATTGACAATTTTGCCACTAATAACTCCTTTCACAGTCTCAAGGGTTGCCGTTCCACAAATCAAACAAATGGCTGGCCGGAAGCTGCAAATTGCTTACAACACATGTATTCAGAAGCCATAAAGCAAGGTTTGACAACCTCGTAAAGGGGAATAACACAACACCCCCTCGGATCGCTCCTGGCCCTCTGGCAGCCCTCTCCAGCCATGGAAAAACAAACAATTCCCTTCCACAATTCCTGTTGCAGTCCTATGGGCCAGGGTCCACAAAGGAGAGGACCAGAGAGAGGACTGGCCAGGTCCAGACTTACCCGGAGGGCCTCCAAGGGGTTTTTTGTTTGAATCATGTGCCTCCGGTAGAGCCCCTTTTTCTGCCCTCACCTTCCTTCGACAGAAGTCCTCAGCTTCCATCATTGAAAAAGGAAGAACACAGGGCCCTAAATGTTGAGAAAACAGGGAAGAACGCAAACTTCAAACCTTTTCTTTGTACTTACACTTGAGGTTTGGTCATCTAACAGCTCGGCTGTTGGTCATAGGGAAACTCCATGCACCTATGGACACTATGATTCTCTCGAGTTCCCTTTCTGGGGTTGACTTACAGGGAAAACAAAAAGGAACCGCCCACACATTCTAAGAGGGTTCTTTTACGGTAAATGTAAAGAAGGCAGGTTCAGGCAAGGATGGATTTAGGGAAAAGGCAAAAACGACTTTTGAGTATGCTTCAGTGGTGTAATCATTGCTTACGCCAGGGTGGGAGACCAGCCCGACTTGCTTAGCATGTGACACATCGAACTTGTACTGTGTTCTGTTGTGACATTTGGGTCACTGCCTTGATTTAATCAAAAACGGTGAACATAGACCGCTCTCATCACTAACCCGCCACGTTACTGCCAGAAACCGATCAGTAACTCTCCAAAACCGATGCCCACCAACCTGCAAGACTGATGTCCGGGCATACCCAAAACTGATGCCCACACCACTGGCGTTGCACCCAATGCCACGGCGCTGCGCGCAGGAGCGGACGACTTTCAGAACGGCGTCCGGTCGTCTCCAGGACCCAGCCGTACACGATCCTGTGACTAGGTCTCCATGTGGGTGTGTCTTTTAAAAGGCTGGACCCCCCGAAAAATGGTGGCTTTCCTTTTCGTTTCCCTTCAAGCCACGCCCAAAAAGGGTACCATCAAAAAAGGCACGCCCACGCTCCGTTGGTCCCTGAAAAAATCAAATCCAGAGGGGTCCATCTGACAACCTATCAAAAAGGAATGCCGCACATTGCTGAAACCGCCCCCCCCCCCCCCGGGTGGCTTCACAAAAAGTTTCCCTTTGCAACACATCCTAGAAAGGTTCCAAAGAAGACACCCTCACATCTTACAGCCTTCAAAATGCCCACAAATCATCGAACAATACATCAAACATATCAGGCAAATCTGTTGACCCAGACAAACACAACAAAAAACAAAAAGCACACACACACAAAAAAAAGGGGCAACAAGCAGTCATAGTACTTCAAAAGCAAGACCAATCATTGGCAGTCTTCTAATCGCCCTTTTGACTCACCCAAGCATTGCCTTGTCAAAACAAAAGGTACTGTAGCTAAACAAACACCGGTCAGCTTCCCTGTAATTGGTGGTTTGGGTTGGTGGTTTGGACTTTCTGGGGCACTTTTCCCATTTGCGTTCAAAAGGTGCTGGGGTGCAAAGCCCCACCACCAATCAAAACCACCAACTAAGGCGTACCTAAACCACGAAAACAAAGCACACACCCAACCTTGATGCTGTTGACCCCCTTGCAAAAAGTTTTTAACTTTTTTGGGGCTTCGTGGAAAACACCGTTATTTCCCAAAAAGTTCAAGTCTAAAGATCCAACCAATAGCAGTCAAGCAACAGGTTGGATTCCATGCAACAAACAGGGGGGGGGGGGGGGGGGGGGCAAAAAAAAAAAAGACTCCAAGGCTCCAGAGATTCACCGGCACTGTCACCAGATGCCACAGGGAATGGGAGTCGATGTGCCCAAAGAAAGGCCACGGCAGGGTGAAAGGGGCCACGTCCACCAGTTCCAAGGAGCAGAAGGTGATGAGCACAGCCTGTGCCAAGTTGGATCCGAGTTGAGCCCCCAACATGGCTTCCAAAAACAGAAAGTTGGAGAAACACACACAGACACAGACAAACAGACACGCAGAGAGAAAGAGAGACACAGAGACACACAGAGACACACACAGAGACACACACAGAAACACACGCAGAGACACACGCAGAGACACACGCAAAAACACACACAGACACACAGACACACACACACACACACAAAACACAAACACAAACACAAAAACACACACACACACACAAACACAAACACAACCACAACCACAACCACAACCACAACCACACCCACACCCACACCAACACCAACACCAACACAAACACAAACACAAACACAAACACACACACACACACAAACACACACACACACACAAACACACACACACACAAACACACACACACACACAAACACAGACACACACAAACACACACACAGACACACACACACATACACACACACAGACACACACAGACACACACAGACACACACAGACACACACAGACACACACAGACACACACACAGACACACACAGACACACACACACACACAGACACACACAGACACACACAGACACACACAGACACACACAGACACACACAGACACACACAGACACACACAGACACACACAGACACACAGACACACACAGACACACACAGACACACACAGACACACACAGACACACACAGACACACACAGACACACACAGACACACACAGACACACACAGACACACACAGACACACACAGACACACACAGACACACACACACACACACACACACACACACACACACACACACACACACACACACACACACACACACACACACACACACACACACACACACACACACACACACACACACACCACACACACCCACACTGCGCACGCGCACTCGCACCGCACGCGCACGCGCACGCGCACGCACACAAACACGCACGCGCACGCCACGCACACGCACGCAAACACGCACACGCACACGCACACGCACACGCACACGCGCACGCGCGCACGCGCGCGCGCGCGCGCACGCGCACGCGCACGCGCACGTGCACGCGCACACCTGTTTGGGTGTCTTTGGAGTTGGACACGAATGTTTGGTGTGGCTTAACAGGAAACCAAAGGAAACCTTCAGCTTGACAAGAGAGCAGGCCGAAACCCATTTCAGGGACCCGGGAAAAAGCAACAACAACGCCACCCTGGTTTTCTGCAAACGAACGCCCTGGGAACCGGCACAAGGCCCCCGAAAAAGGAGATCAATCTTGCGGGGGCCCGAAATGGTGGACTGGTTCCAACCAATTTTTTTGGGGGGGAACCCATTGACATTTATAGCCAAATTTAATGGAAGCATTCGGTTTGATACAGTCCATTCCTTGGTGCCACCGCATATTTGCAGGCACTGCGCCCTTCGGTCTACATGTGAGAAACGCTTCCCAAGGACACGGGAAGATCAGCTCCAATTCCCTGGAGTTGGGGTACGGTCCCTGAATCGCAGGAAGGGGCTGTCCGTTTTCAGGTCCCGTGCTAAAAGTCTAACCTTTTAGTGGGCTAGACGGAAACCCAACCACTAAATCCTAACAACCTAAGAAGCTAAGGCGACAACTGGAACCGCCAAGGAAAAGCACCCCCAGAAAGTCAAAATGGGTATGGGTCAAAATGCAGTTTGGTCCATATTTCCATTCACCGTGGCAACCCGTTTTGGGGTTACCCTATTTTTGATATTACCCACACCCAAACAAGTCCGTCTTCATGGTGCGGTCTCCCCCGATAAGAACACCCAGCCCAGCCCAACGTCTCTCGCAAAGCGAACCCCCGGCCAAGGGGCCCAGGGCAAAGCCAAGTGTTTGGTCAGCGCACGCTGCCTCTCTCGGACCCCGTACCAAATCCACAGCGCAGCGGTGAGGCCTGGTGAGAACTTCCCCCACCTTCTGAATGGAACTCTGAGGGTCCCAGTGCCTAAGGAGTTAGCACCTTGTCATACCCCAAAGGCCAGCTGGGGACCCTATAGAACCAAAATGAGGACCCTTGGCCATGGCAACCAATATTATTCAGCTGGTATACTGTACTCCAAGAAAGCAACGCAAAACTTCTGTTGGGGTGACCCCCGAACTTGCCATCGGACATCAAGACACTTGGCTGTCGATGTTGGTTTGATCAAGTGGCAGTTCTTAGACTGCGCCGAATTTCTATCCAAGATGTAGTCATTGAGTCCAAGGCGCTGACCAATTGGTTTGCTGAAAAACATCCCAAGGGCCGTCCTAGCCGCAAACAGGTGCGGTTTGCAGTGGCCGTTTTGAACGCCACGTATGGCCGCTCAATTCTCCCAGGTCCATGTTGGGAGGAAGGCCCCCAAAAAACGACTCCGGGTCGTGCAAGTCCAAGTGAGAGCTGGCTGCAAACTCTGTGACATCCAAAGGGAGCCACACGAAAAGTGTCCATTCAAAATGAAAGTTGCTGCAGAATTCGCCAAACTGCTTCTGCGGGCGAATAATCTGTTCACAATTCATTAAAACGGCACGTGTTGGCGAAGCATGGCAACTTCGTCACCAAGTTTTAGGCTAGGTTTGCAGGTGCCGATCAAATGGACAGGAAAAGCGCCGCCGCATTTCAACGCCGGGTTGGCTTTTCGGCCAGAAAGGGGTTACCCGGTTGTAACCCTGGTAAACTCGTCAAAGGTAAACCACTTTCCCGGTCTGCACAAAGTCCCCCAGTCTGAGCTCTGCTGAATGTAGGCCTTCAGGTGCGAAGGTGCGCTCTTGACTCATAGGTCCAGGTTGGGAAATGCCCGGCATCCCCTGTCTTGGGGTTGGGACTGTAGGTTTAGTTGGGAAATTCCTGACCCAAAGTGGGGGTTTCTAGGTCTTGAGCTGTTTAGCTGTTTGGCACTGGGGATCAGCCCAGAAATTTGGCCCCCCAACTTGATGGTGCAATAGGCAGGGAATTGAGGGAATGAACCCAGGCTCTGGTCCCCTTCAAGGATACCACCACCAAGGGATGGTTTTCTCGAAGTCATGAAGCCAAAGGCTTTGTCTCAAGAAAGGGGACCCGCAAATGGTTGGTTTCCTTTTGGTTTCCCTTTAAATCAACCCCCCAAAAAGGGTTCCCCCTATTTTCTAGCCTGGAATTCGAACCCCAGAAAAAGCTATCTTCTTTGCCTGGCGAGTGGAAAAAAAGGACCCCAAAAAAGCAAAAAAAAACCAAATTCCGGGACCCCCCCCAAAAAAAACAAAAAAAACATGCAACAAGGGGAGCTCCTTCCGGGGGCGTTTTTTGCGTCAGCCCCAACCGCCCGTGCCACGTCTCCTTACGTGCAGCTGCAGCCGCGCCTAGGAGCCCCTGGGCCACCGTGGCTTGCAGCTGCCAGGGGAAGCCCAGCGCCGCCCCCAGCAGCCCGTAGCCCGCCAGGCACCCCGCGCTGCCCGGCAAGGCCCACCTGCCGTTTTGCGTGGGGGAGCCGCCTGGGCCGAAAATTTGGGGGAGTGAGGAATTTGTCGACTGGGGGCAGACTTGGGCCGAGAAAAATTAATTTCGGCGTGGCTGGGGCTGAAAAACACGGACATGTCCGAGGGTTCCGCCAGGTTGGACAAACATGCATGCACCGATCACCTGCCCAGAGCTGCTAATTTCGGCTTCCCCAAGCCAGACAGTAAAGCACTTGTTGGAGGTGAAGGGATATCCAAACTGTTCAGGAGTTTCCAATGACCAGACATGGCGCCAGTCAAACAACCCCTCAGCCATGAAGCGAAGCTTGATTCTCCAAAAGGGGGAATATCAGGACTGAACCAATGCCTGAAGCGGCTGGGGATTCATTGGCCAACTCAGCGCAAGTCATCCGCCAAGATTGAACAACACAACCGAATAGCTGATACATAGCAACTATATCATACACCACTTGCTGAAGGTCTCAAATCGCAACAAATGGCTACATAACGTGCCCGCACAAATGGATGCTGAAATCCTAGGGGATATCATGCAATGGAAGTAGAAACCGTTGAACACGGGTCTGATATGCTATGATGTTAGACGTCATTCATGTAACCAAACCAGATGCCGGCATAAGGGGAGCGCATGAAAGAAAATAACAAGAGCTGTGAGTGGGAAGCTCAACGTAGATGTGACCATGGATTGCGGTTGGCTTACTTGCAATACTTGTAGACTCCGCCGTTGTGGAAACCCCCCTTTCTGCGATACCAAAGTATGATTTCCCACTACGACTTTATCACTTCACAGGGGAATCCCTTGGTACTGTGGATGGACGACCTACGACGCCCTGGAATGAGGATTCCCTTACAAATGCCAACAAACAACGGTTTCCCATGGTTTCAATTCGTCCATCCACAATATCACACCCAGCTGTACACTCCGAGGCATAAGCATAAACTGCTTCGCCGGTAGCCGAGAAACCTGGGTATCTCGAAAACGGAAAGCAGCCACCAATCGAAGAAACCTTCAGCCAATCGTGATGCTCTCAAGGCTTCTGCCGATTACAAGTGTGCCATTTGCGACTAAAAAAACAAACAATACTATATCATTGTATCATGAAACAAGAAAGGTACCCAAGACAGAAACCCATCCACGGGAAATTCGGTCGCAAACCGGAGCCTTGCCCACTTGCCCACATGGCTCTTGGTGGATCAATAAAAATGTGGTTCCCCCCAAAAGTGAAAACCGTCTCCCAAATGGAACGCCCCCGAAAATGAATTGAACGAACCAGGGCATTTTGAAGCTTTACCTTCGGTTTCCTTGGGCTGGTCCCAAGATTGACCCTACAATGGGTGCGCAACCACGGAGGGTCCCTTTGCACCTACGGATTGGTTTTTGGGGGGTGCCCCCTACCCCCCTACTACCCACCCCCTACCCACCCACCCCCTACCCACCCCACCCACCCACTTTACGTACAAAGGGGCCCTTGGAGCTCCTGTCAGCTGACTCCAACCCGCCTGGACCAGCGGCAGGAGCTAAGCCTCAGCAGCACAGTGGAGAGCTCGGCGAGGCAGGTGAGCACCACCCCGAGGTAATCCAAGTCCTGACCAAGGCGCATGTGGGATGCGCATGCTACATGGGTGTGTGTTTTTTGGGGTACCCATTTTTGGGGGTGGTGATCAAGGGAAGGGAAAACGAAACTACCAATTTTCTGGGGCCCCCTCTTTTAACACACACTACGAGACACCCAAATATACTTGACTTGTGGTACATTTTGATGGACTCCGCTAGCATCGGTTGGGAAAAATTGATTTAACAACCTGCGTCCAGTAAGGCCTGATTTCAGGGTTGGTTGCAAAGTTTCAACCAGCCTAGGAAACCTTAAGGGAAACCACAGGAATGATTCCTACTTCTCCACTTACGTAAGCGGTATGGCCTGAACTTGCGCCTTATGCAAGTGATATTGACACTGTAGGAAACTTCTTGAAGCACTGAACTTGTGCTTCTTCATGGCACCTCGTTGCACATGTATGCATGCATGCAGGGCATTGGAGTCTGCCCAGCTGGTTTGCTGGCTTCGGCTGCACCCCTCCAAGACCTTGGCGCGCATCCTTCGAACAGAGCCTCTTTCTGGACTCCATGAAGCCCATGGGGTTCCTTCTGGAGCCACCAACCGGCAAGATCGAGGGTAACCAGATTGGTGGCCAACGCTGGTGGTTCTGGCCATCTGGAGCTGGCATTGCTGAAGGCCACCCTTTGTGGAGCGACGAATTTCGTGCGGATCTGCCAGCAAGTCTTGCACGACCCTGAGATTTGCTCGGAGAACCGCATCTTTTGCAGAAGATCCGGGCCCGAGCTGAGCTGATGTGGCCAGGCCTCCGAGACCACCAGCACGCCACACTTTCAGAGCATGAAGAAGCAACGGTTTCTGATGGCCTCCGGCAAGGACGACGTGCGACTGAACAAAGCCCGGCAGGCGATTGGGGCCTGACTTGAGAAGTCCCTGCACAGGATGCTTGCTGGTCACGCGCTTCCGCCACGCACTTGCGAGGATGCAGTGTGTTCGCAAATGCTCTGGTAAAGATGACAAAGCGCATGTTCAGACAGGAGAACGCTGCTGATGTGATTGAAGCAGAAGCTACTAGGACTGAGTTGGGAGTTTCCTGGACTTGCTTTAGTTTTTTCATCCAAGGAAAGGTTGCTGCCATGTTGGGTTTCTTGGGCGGTTGCTGCGTTTTTGGTTGGTTTGGGTGTGTTGGTTTCTCGGGCGAGGGAAGGCCGAGCACGGCAACGGGCATGCCAACGTTTGGGTTGATAAAATCTAACAATATAAACAAACTGCAAGCCAATTCCGCCGCGCCGTACTGCAGAGCAGCTTTTGGGACGCGCAAACCCCCACCCCCCACCCTGCCCCCTAAGGAGGCGCAGGTACTTGAGTTGCCGACCCTTGTCAAACTGCTGAGAGCAAGTGTGCATTCAGACATTGGCCTGCAGTCCGCACGCAAGCTCTCCAAGGAAGAGCGCAGGTCACTGGGCGTTGTCCGCATTCTTTCCAAAAGACCTACGCCGCGCAGGTTGAAAGATGCGCTGGGCCGCGTCAAGGAGAAAACCTTTCTGGTGAAGACTTGCAACATCTTGCACGCTTGCGCGTTCTCTTGGAACACTCATGCGAGCCTAGCTCTGCGTGCGACGAACCTTGTTCTCAAGGACGCGTTTCCACTGTTTGCAATGACCAAACTGTTGTTTGTGTTTTTAAAACTTTTGTGTTTGTGCAAGTCACACTGCCTTGCTCTTCACCACAGATCCAGCATGAAACTGGTCCTCCTACCCTCATCTTACTCCATCCTCGGAGCCCATGACAGTTTACGGCGATGCTTGATATACTGCAGCCTTCCCTTCCTTTTATGGCCTTCCACCTTGTCCTGCCTTATAGTTGTCCTTCCGTTTTGTCTGACGCATGCCCTTGCCTTGCTTTGTTTGGCCCTCCATCTTACTTCTTCCTTGCCTTCCTGTTCTGGCTTGCAAATGTTTTCCTTTGCTTGCCTTCACTTACGCCCTCCCTCTTGCGCAGGAAAAGCACACGCCATATAATATGGCTTTGTTGGCGCCCGCGCACAAGAGACCATGCTTTGGTCTAGTCTAAACCCTGAATAGGATTTCCATTGATTTATCGGACTTGACTATCATCAAATTCCTACAGCAAGTCTTGTAAATGTGAGCCACCTAAATGAACTAAATGAAGTTGTGTATGTTCAGTGCACTGGCTGCCTTTTTATGCTGTATGTACATAACAACTCTTGCACATAAATACTAACCACCATGCCCCTTCAAGGGGTCACTCCCTTCCCTGAGAACCAACCAACTGTTCAAAACAACTTAGATGGCCCTGGTATATGATTGAACCACCAGGCAAACCAGGAACCGCCCTCTAGTGTTAAAGCAAACCAACCAAAAAGGACACCTATGCTCCAATCCTCTTAACAAACAACCCCAGGCGGGGAAGCCACGTGTGGCCATGTCAGGGCGAAGAATTCAAGCACTGGAACTGAAGGACCTTGTGTTGACCCTCATTTGGGGAGGGGGTGGCGTTTTGTGTTTTTTAGTTGGTACCCCTTTTGCGGTGGGGCTCAAAGGGAAACCGAAAGGAAAACCAACATGATATATCTTCCGGGGGGGGGTCCTAACAAACACACAAGGAAAACCAACATAATCTATTTTCCGGGGGGGGGTCCCCGAACAAACACACACACACACATACCAATTTGCATCTATTGGCTTCCGGGCCTGGGGGTTCGTCAAACGCGTCCGGAACCAACGCACCTCTGGACGAGCCAAGAACCAAAGGCCTGGACTCAGCAGACGGCTCACAGGAATTCACCCAATGGTTTCAATGGAGCTAAAATGAGTGACTCCAGAAAAGCACAGATGTTGATCAATTTACCGGGCTTCGATTAATTGAAATTAGTGATTTGTTTTGTGTTGCTTGTTTTGTGTTTTCCTTAAGAACGCAGAACATGGTGTTGGCAATCAAAACTCACATCGATCTGCTGTACCCTCACGTAGGGGTGCTGCTGTGGAGTTGCGCTAGATAGCTCACTGTCTAACATACGCTATGTTTCATGAGTGTTGGCTTGTCAATAGGCGAACAAATTGGCGTGAGCAACAGTAACTATTCACCATCATCTGCTGTAGGAAGAGAGGAATGACATTGAGCATGCTCACTCAACTACCAATACCAATGGGAGCGTTCACAAAAATCACATGCACTATTCAGATGAGCATTTGATCGGTCATTTGGCCTAAATTTGCTTCAGGCCCCTGGAGAAAAAAAACAAAACAAGTATTTGCTTGATTCCCTTTAAATCCAGCAGGGGAAAATCGACCGCATTTCTTACCCTAGGAGCCCAAGACCCTAACTATGAGGGCCTTTCACCTTCAGGGTGACACAGGGCTGTGGAAATGGCATCCACTTCTGTGATACAACAGAAAGGGCTTTCCACAGACTAACCGGATACTTTTGATTGTACCACAGAAGTGGTTGGATAAACTTGAGTGATCCCACAATTTTGGGAGATTCCCTTTAAATCCAGCAAATCAACCATATTGTTACACTAGGAGCCCATGAGGGCCTTTGACCCCCTAACAGGGTAACATTAATCTAAGCACATGGCAGCCGACTATCTTTCGATCCTCGAAGAAGCGGCAGGTGTTCGCATGGAAGAGCCTGAGCCGATTGGAACAAACCGGTCGAACCTGCATGGATTTGATTGTGTTACTTGATTTTTTGGATGCTTATTTGTGTATTGATTTTTGTTGGGCGTGTCAACCGCCAATAATTTAATCGTGTCTCAGGTAAATCTTCGTAGAAAGGTGAGGAGCTTTCTACTGGGGTTCGGGAGGCCTCCAAAAAAACATTATATATATATATATATACATTTCTAAATATCCATCAACAATAAACGACAAAACACAACAAAACAAAAAACAAACTCGGAGAACCGAGGCGCATTGAGAGCAGCCATGTGATGCAATGCGCGCCCGCGCTCACGTCCAGCACGTTGCCCATGGGGTGGACATAGCCTGCGCGTTAGCGTGACGCGACGCGCCCTTTGGGCCGAAACACCAAGGTTGGCCGACGGCTCCCCATTTGGGTGTGGGTCAAAATCCAAATCGGTTAGCCCACAGCGAACATCCGATTCAATCCAACCACTAAAATAGGTTCTAAAGTGGGATGGTGAATTCACCTACCCCAAAATGGTACCATTGGCTTATGTAATGTTGACCCCAGATCAATAAACCCCACTTTGTTAATATGGGGGTGTCCCTGGTTTTAGTGGGGATGTATCACTTACCAACACCCTCAAAAATTAATTCACCGGGGTTTATTAATCCGGGGTCAACATTACCCTCCACAAGAGCCAGGGGTTCAAATCCCCAAACCACCAATACAAACCACCAGCTAAGGGTTACCTGAGGTTTGACAGCTTCAACAGACGTCTTGTCAAACAATAATATCCACAATGCTCATACAATAATCTACTCTCCGCGAACGTCTTTGCAGGACCCACGAGTGACATAGGCTTCAAATCAACCAAAGTGGACAACACACAATGAATATGTGTGTCGTGTTGCTGTCTTCAAACAATAGTGTCCTGCATGCTAGTTTTTCTTATGAATACGCATGCGATGTGTGTATGTGCCGTGCAAACGAACGTTTTGTCCATCCCAGTGGCCATGGTGGTGAAAGGGGAGCCTTTTTGGGGTAGACCTTTGATTTTGGTGAACTGTACTGATCAACTGGGTGTGGGACTATAAACAAACATGGATCAACACAACTCGAGGTCAAACGGTCAACTGCTCGAAACTAAACAACGGCTATCCAACCAATGTGTCGCACATCACGACCCCTGTCCACCACATTCGGGTATGCGTTTAAATAGGGCCCCGAAAACAGTGAAGCTCCTTTGATTTCCGAGAAAAAAAGAAGAGCAAACACAATGCGTACCCTTCCAAAAAAGGAAGAAGCGTGAAGCTCCTTTGGATTTCCGGAGAAGACAAAAAGGCGTACCCTCCAAACAAACGGATTTCCGGGAACAATAATAATAACAATAATAACAAACACCTAATTATTGCGGACCCTCCCAAAAAAACGAAAAACAAACCTCTTGAAGCCTTGAAGAAGGAAGTAAGCATAAGGCAGGCCGTTCAGGAGCGAGAAGAGCGCAGACCAAAACCTGAGCTCCGAGTGAACCAGCCGGCGGGGAACCTGAAATGGGCTCTAAAGAATCCAGGGTGCCAATCCAAAGCCAACCAACACCGAACAAAACCAAGCGAATGCCAACCATACGCAAGCAAGCAAGCAAGCAAGCAAGCAAAAAATCAAGCAAAACCAAAAAACAAACAAACAAACAAACAAACAAACAAAAAATCAAACAAACAAACAAACAAACAAACAAACAAACAAACGAACAAGCAAGCAAGCAAGCAAGCAAGCAAGCAGGCAAGCAGGCAGGCAAGCAGGCAGGAAGGCAAGCAACCTCACACACAAACAAACAAACAAACGAACAAACAAACAAACAAAGAGACAGACAGAAAGAAAGACAGACAGACAGACAGACAGACAAACAGGCAGACAGACAGACAAACAGACAGACAAGCAAGCAAACACGCAAGCAACAAAGCAAAAAAGCAAAAACAAAAAAACAACACAGACACACACACACACACAAACAATGACACACTCATGAGATGCAGGTTTTTTGGTCAACATGCCGGTTCCAGGGCTCTCATGCCATGTCAGGAAAAGTCCGATTCACTGTTCGCGTGATCACGAGGAACCGCAGAAGAAACTACCTAGAGTCTCCATGACCCTTCAAACCAGGCCGTTCTTTTGGGTACTGACGCCATGATTAAAGGGTTGTGGAGACTGTGGCACGCACTGTCATGCCGACATACTCAGCCATGTAAAAACGCGCTAGAATATGCTTCTGTTTCCCTTGCTCTCATGTACAAGCATGGCGATAGGGGGGATCCCAATGTCTCTCCAAAGCAACACACGGACAGGGCAACCCGAGGAGCAAAGAAATGAACCGAGCCAGGCTGCTCAGTGCAGTGTGCCACACGGTAGAAGGCCCAGCGGCCTTTGCCATACCTGCAGCTGGCGCCAATACCGCGGGGTAGCTGAGGAGCAGAACTTCAAGTGTCAACTTTGGAACCTCCGGACAAGCATAATAATAATAATAATAGTAATAATAATAATAATAATAATACAATATCCAAAACAACTATTGTAATAACACAGGATGATATATATATATATATATATATCATAATATAACACTATAATCATATATATATACAAAACTAATCATGATGATGGGTCGTTCCTCTTTTGGAGGGGAGCCACCAAATTGGTGGGAAACTAATGCATGTTGTCCAATTCTTCTGATGTGTATTGTCATCCATCCGAAGTTGAGGGAATCTGCGCACTGGACCCTTGCCAGATCGAGCAATAAACGGTGTGGGCAGGACTTGAATCTACATGTTCTTTCAGTTCTGCCAATTTTCCTGCGTTTGACCCATCTTTGTTTTGAGCCCTGGTTTTCTGGAGCGTGGCTTCGATCCACACTTGTATATTGTACATATATGTGTTTTGTTTACATTGCTCCGTAGTCACGTCTCACGTAGATTACTCAAGTACATCAAAGCTTTTCGTCTGGCGATTTCCGGGGCCCGAACATAGCTGAATCTGGTCACAACCATGGACCATGGACCTTTGATATACTCGCGCGCAACGTATGCGGCAGCCCCTGGTTATGTGCCATGGTATGCCGAGTACAACATCAGCTTCCCTTCAATTGGTGGTTTGGATTGGTGGTTTGGAGTGGAGGTTTGGAGGTTAAGGAGACGTTTCCTATTCACCCGATGGCTTTTACTTTCATTGAAGGGTTAGAGGTTTTGGGTTTGACCCTATTTGTTGTCCCTTTTGAACATCAACCAAAAGTCAACTCCGTCAAAATGGGCCAAGGTGATGGTGTTGAAATCACCCCAAAAGGGACACGTACATATATACATATCTATATATGTAATGACCCGCTCAAATCCAATTGAAGGTGTCTTCTTGTCAGCCCCCCCTTTGGTTGATTGGAAGGGAAGCAGCACGAGAGCCAAGCATATGCTGACTGGTTGAAAGGGCAACTCACGTCAAACCAAAACAATCTGAGATTTTGCCAACCCGAAATATGATTGATCTTGTTCCATATTCTGTGAGCCTGATTTAAGAGATCCAACATCTCCAGCAAACAGGGAAACACTGAGGCGCCCCTTTTGGAGATTGGTTGATATCTAATCTAGGCTGGAATTAGGACCCCAGCAAACAATTATCTTTTTTGCCTGGTTAGTGAAAAACAAAGAAGCCCCAAAAAAGCCAAACAAAGCAAAAGGGGAGCTAATTCTGGGAAGTCAAGTGACACCCCAATCCAAAAGCAACATCGAAACGGAGAAGCCTTGAGGTCTGGGCCAACGGCAATGGGAAAAAAACAAACAAGCACCTGTGGAGGAAAAACTCCGACCTCCTCCATCTCAGCTTCCATTTGGTTGTTCGACCCCCGGAAAACATAAATGCAAACAGATTTCCAGTGGTTTAATAGATTCCCTTCAAAACCAACAGGGGAAAAACCATGTCAGCAAATGGAAGTCAGAGACCTGCAAACCTAATCAATCCAAAACTCCAAAACCGGAACTCTGGACAGTTGGATTTCACAAGTCACCCTTCCTTCCCTGAGCTCGCTTGCCCTCCCAATGAAGCCGGACAGTGACGTTCGGGGGTCCTGGGGTCCTGGTTACCATTGTCCGAAAGGGACTGGGTCCCGAACGTCAGGTTTTCCAGGTGAGAAGGGTGGGAGGGCCTGGGAGGGTAACTTGGTCAGTAGGGAGTGAACCTGGGGTTCCCTCAAAGTTCTTCCATGTCTCATTCCCTGCATCTCTCCCACCGATCGCAAGGCATGTGAGAGTTTGCCATACGCAGAAATGAGAAAACTTGCTGGTGCTTAGTAGGGAATATGGGATGGGAATCAACCCAGGAAACCCTTTAACTCAAAGGACACCACCAGTTTGATGGCTTATTCAAACATCATTCCATGTCTCACTCCCTGCATCTCTCCCACCGATCGCAAGGCATGTGAGAGTTTGCCATACGCAGAAATGAGAAAACTTGCTGGTGCTCAGTAGGGAATATGGGATGGGAATCAACCCAGGAAACCCTTTAACTCAAAGGAAACCACCAGTTTGATGGCTTATTCAAACATCATTCCATGTCTCACTCCCTGCATCTCTCCCACCGATCGCAAGGCATGTGAGAGTTTGCCATACGCAGAAATGAGAAAACTTGCTGGTGCTCAGTAGGGAATATGGGATGGGAATCAACCCAGGAAACCCTTTAACTCAAAGGAAACCACCAGTTTGATGGCTTATTCAAACATCATTCCATGTCTCATTCCCTGCATCTCTCCCACCGATCGCAAGGCATGTGAGAGTTTGCCATACGCAGAAATGAGAAAACTTGCTGGTGCTCAGTAGGGAATATGGGATGGGAATCAACCCAGGAAACCCTGTAACTCAAAGGAAACCACCAGTTTGATGGCTTATTCAAAAATCATTCCTTGTCTCATTCCCTGCATCTCTCGCAGCAGCAAGAAAATATTACCCAGGCCAGTCGTCGCTTTCGTCGTCAGGGTGCTTCACCTGCGGTCGGCCCTCGGCAAACCGCAGCTCGCTATCTGCCAACGCGCACCGGTGCTCGCACTCCTCGCCGAAAAGGGCGTCGACCGAGTTACCTCCGGCTGCCGGTGGGATGCTCTCACCTTGCCCCCATTTGGGTGTTTTGAAAGAAACTTGAATTGAAATACCTAAAAAAAAGGCCTTTCGCGTACTGAAGTAGACCAATAAACATGAAAACTGGAATTCAAAGGTTAAAACCTTTTGGAACGTTACACATAGACCCAAATGGGAACACAAAAGGTCAAAGGATCGATTTTGCTTTGGACGAGAGTACTGTAAAGGCCTGAATTATCAGAATGGGGTTGTGGGGTGGCATGAAGAAAACTTGCAGCATGCCCATAGGATAAAGTCTGCAAGTATTTAGCCACCCATATCGTATAACGCCCTTTGTGGGTTTGTGTAAAAGGGAAACCAAAGGAAACATACAAGGGAAATCAAACCGAAGCAAAGCCTTTTTTTGGAGGGGGGCGGAGCTCTGCAATGGCAACACTTCTGGGACGGGGTGCAAATCCCCAAGCCACAAATCCAACCACCATTGCCGGGCGACCTGAAAACAGCCTGCTTCCAAGATTCAAACAAGTTTTGGGGTGTCCCCTATGTTGGGATCGACCCAGAAAGCGAAAAAGGTCACCCCTATTTTGGGACCGACCCAGAACGAAAAGGTCACCCCCTGAAGGGAGATTCCCCTGAATACAAACACCCATGGAAACACATACGTTGTGTTCATTGATATTTGTGTCTATCAACCATCGTGACAGGGTTCCCATTCAGCATAATTACACCTGCTGTGGATGGCCAAAATCCTGCACCACTTTGAAACCATGGTTGAAGCGGCTGTTTGTTGGCAATTCCATGTTAGTTGGTGGGAGGGTATACCAGTACTTCGTCTCCGTGGCCTTAGGTTTGCTTCAAGGGACATGTTGGAAATACAGATTCCTCAAGTCCGCAAATATGAGGTACTTGGACCCTCCGGGGATTATGCAATGCTTCAACGATTCTGGGTGAATTATAATATTTCCCCAACCTGAAATAAGTTGGTCGTGTGGGGTCGTTATAATTCACCCAGACGCTTGGCTACTTGCTTGGCGAGTGAGCGGCTGGCGGTTGGGTTGCCGGCAGGCAGTTTGCCCGGTTCCGCTGATTGCCAGGTGCGGAAAGCCAGAGAAATTCTGTGGCGCGTCGCATGGTTTGCCTTGTGGCCCCTCTCCACTCGTTTGAGGGGTCCAATGTTTACCTTGCCACAAACAGGGTAAGCAAATGCTCCAACTCAAGCATTGTACCACTTGTCGGAAAGCCTGTCGATAGCCCCAAGTTTAATGTTGGATCCTTCCAGAAAGGAAACATAGGTGCCTCACACTCTCTGATGCTTCTCTTGTTGGACGATAGTTCTATGCAGGTCTCCCTGATGCCCTGCTTTCTTTGGGGTTCCCTCTCTTTCCTCTTCAACCACACCAAAACTCATCACACCCCAGCGTCAACCCCCTGTTTGAAGGTGCTTCATCCAATCGCGTTGAAACCTCTCGCATGCATCGTGCTTCCCCGGGGCCCCGGGGCCCGCAGTTTGGTTCAAGATGTTGATCCAACCCTCAGCTTACCCCTACCCGAAACCGGAACCGCAAACTAAAACCTTAACCCCTACTCAAAACCACCCAAACTCCCAAAACTAACGAGCATAAAGCCTGTAAGCTATCCAAACCCCAACCCTCAAACTAAAAAACACCCTACCCCCCAAGCTCAAAACTCCAAAAAATCCAATCCTAAAACTAAGAACAAGCTAAACTCATTCAACCCCAAACTCTAATTCCCCAGCCCTCAACAGGTTTTGAGCCCATGCCTCTTGGCAGCTCCACAATATACTCGGTGCTTCGCAGTGGCACCCGGTGAGGCAAGATCGGAAGGCCGCCTGACGGTGGCCTGGCGGGTAATTAATGACAACCATGGGGTGGGACGGGGGGAGGAGGGGGGCGGGGGGAGGAGCGTGGCGGGGGGACGAGGGGGGCGGGGGGAGGAAGGGTGGGGTGAGCGGTGGGGGGACTGATCAAGGGCAAATAAAGCCAAATCTGCGACCTTATCTGCTAGGGGTTTCAGGGGCGGTGGCTTTGGGGGTGGACGCTCCCTTGGCAAAGCAATGCAAACGCGAGTCTCTACCAACCAAATTAATGCAGGGCCCCAAATGACCAAACGCCTCGCAACATGAGAAAGCGCAACATCAGCGTGTCCTTTTAGTCACCTTGAGAAACCATCCCACAGATTCTGCACCATTTTGAGACCCGCCCAGAATGCGGGACATGAGCAAGTTTCTCTTAACAGGAGCCTGTATGATGTTTAACATTCCCCGTTCAGGAACTGGTGCATGGAAACCTCCCGATAAACAACGTCAACATTGTTCTGTGGAAAGTCATGACGGGCCGCATGCTGCTCATGTCATGTGCTATCGATCCGTCCTTTTCCAAAAACCAGCCAGTGCTTCGGGATATTTTGACCCGGCAAAAACAAACGGCGATCCGATCCGGCATCCCCTTTTGTGATCAATCAGCTTTCAGCCTAGGTTGTTCAAAATTGGGGGGAGCCGAAAAGTCCTAGTCTGTCCGTGGGACACAGGGAAACTACGACCATCTGGCATAGGATGAAGGATAGATGTTGAGCCCGACCTGCTTGCGGCTCAATCCTGTGCCCCAGCCTGAAACATTGACATACCCAGGTCGGCTCCCCAGATTTCCCCTTAAAACACCAGCCCCACCAAGGGACTCCCCCTTTGATGGGCCAAAAAGGTTGATGTGTCAAACCAACAAAAAGGGAAATATAGAAATCGATCCCAGCCCAAGTGGTGTCAAGGAAAACTGCGCCGTGTCTGCAAGAGGCATTCCTGTAGGCTGCAGCGAAACGACCTTGGGGTCTATCGAGAATCCGACTAGCCAAATCAAGTGGCGCGAGAAGAGCCGCGACTCATTTCCCGGAAATTACGATGATTCCCCAGTGGACTCTAGTTACCTGTATAGTAGGTAGCCACGGACCCATCCTTAAACAAAGAAAATAAAATGGCTGGTTACCTACCAAATCGGGTACCTGGGACCCGGGAGTCAGAAACGGGAAAGGAAGACCTTTGGACCTTCATCCTGGGAAGGAACAGTGGATCTCTGGTTTTAGCCCCAAACCCGACTCATTGCATTGAGACTCAGCATGGCGAAGTGATTGATTCCCCACGACTATGTTCTTAAACTTCAAGGTCATTCCCTGGGGTTGTTCACAGAAACTCACAACCAAGAAAACCAAGTGTCCCAACCATGACTGCCTCCAACAGGAACAAAGGTACACAACCACCAGCCACTATTCTGAGGATTTTCTCTCCCCAAACTTCCCGTAAAGGTGGTGGTTTGGGCGGCCAAAGCAGTCTTGGCACGGCTCTCTCTTGCCTCCATGCTGATTAGGATTATCCAGGTAGAAGAGTGCAAAGAGAAGCCACGCATAGGCCGGCACCAGCAATGCCAGAAACAGCTTCGTCTTGCTCATCGCTCATCGATTTGGGTGCTTCCCAATATGGGGGATGCCCTTGGGAATACGGTTGAAAGTGAGAAACTAGTTCCACGACTAACTCGAGCATGTATTGGGGTTGATTCACCTCTGGGTACATAACTGACTCTTCAAAGAGGAAGCTTTCTAATCAGCAGTGTCCTCTTTGTCAACATCAACAGTTTGCTTCATAGGGGTGCCCATTTAATGAGCAGGCACCCATGACAAGCGCCCAACAGATCGCCGGAGCCAAATGGCTCGCCTCATCCGTCTGAGAAGTCTCCGCGTGGAAACATGCGTATGGGCATCAGTCTTCCAATAAATTCTTGGGAGTGTGGCTCAAAAATAGAGGCCCAAAATGGAACCATGGTGACTGGACAAGTAGGCTTAAATCTGGGTTTGTCTAACGCTTAAGTTTGAGCCGCCCAGATCTTCCCCAACTGGATAAATGTTGGGGGCCGCCCTTTGTACATTGGAACTCCCTCGCCAACGGCAAAATGTGTGGGAAAGGGCAGCCTTGTTGTCGGTACCTCCTCCCTCTATGCGGCTCTTCCATACATGGTTTAGTGGAAAGGGAATTTCACAAATCCTTTCTCAACCAGAAAGCGGCTAGAGGGTTGATCAGCGTTCCTCGTATTTCTCCCTTAAGCATCACACGACAAAAGGCAAATGATTCAGAACTGGTCCAAGGCATGCTTCAAATGATTTCAAAGCGGCAACTTAGAACTCCTGTTGGCATTCATTCCAGCCGGAACAACAAATTCGGCCAGTTGAAGACCTTCCCAAACGAGGACGCCTCAGGTTTTGGGGAGGCGCCCAATCGGATGGTCAGGGTAAGAAGGAAAGTCCTGCAATTAGCAGGTCAAAGCGTCTCCAGGTCAGAATGAATATCAGCAAGCAACCTCTGTGATCCCGGGATCTTGCCCACTAGTTTACCTCTGCAAACTTCATCCGGTTCAGCAACCGAAGCACCCCTTGCGAGGAAGCAGAGAAGGCCCCAAAGGAACAAGCTACTCGACATCCGGAGCTGCTACCATTGGTCTAGGGGTTGAGTACCCCTTCTTTTCCACCGTTGGTATGCTCAAGAAAAGAATATTCCTAGGTATGTAGTGGTTTTCCGGACAACTTGTCCCTGGAAAGCATGAACAGTTGCCACTAGAAGTAAGCCGCTTCCCTTGCCTGATCTACATTCAACGGTTTGCACCACACGAACCTCATCGTAGAAGTCTTCCGCATCATCCACCTCAGCTGACAATGAGCAGCGCTCAAGACCCCGTGATCTGTGATTCAGTATGATTGCAAAGAGTTCTACCGTGGTGCCCGCTGTTCAACAACAAATAATAAAATTGGGCCAAGGGGATTCCTAAGAGGAAGTAGTCTTGACAAACATTCCTTTCATGTTCCTTGATGTTAGGAAAGTGAGTACAGCCCTGGCTGAAGCCCTGCATGAGATCGGAGCCGAACAACCTGAAATGGCTCTCTTGCGGAGTTTTGAGCCCGGAACCCAACCACAGAGGCAAGAGCTTGAGTGCTATGCACGGCATGGAACGAAGGGCAAGAAGCAACCGTGTCTGCAGCAATCACCATTCATCCGACTGAAACCATCCCTGAAGGGACCTTCATTCTGGGTGAGCCACTTGTCCGTCCCTTTCAAGGCTTGCCTTTGACCCTCTTTTCGGAGTATCCAAAGAGGGTTTCAACCCAGCACGGTGCTTTACAGGGGAGGGCAACCCTGGCCCCTTGCTGCCTTGCTTATCTCGGAGTCTCACCTGGCCTGAAGGCTACTCCAAACGGATCCGGGGAATCAGGAAAGAATTTGACCTACTCTGATGGTCTGGCACTTTTACATTTGTCTGTTCCATTTTGTTTCTATCTCTCTCTGTCTCTCTCTCTCTCTCTCTCTCTCTCTCTCTCTCTGTCGTTGTCTCTCTCTCTCTCTCTCTGCCAGTGCCAATGACAAATGCAATTTGTGGGGCGGGGGGGGGCTCCCCTACCTCTGAGTCTGGCAGAGAAAACAACGCATGAGGCGCACACCGGCGCATAGCCCAGGTTCTTCGTGGTCTCCTGAAGGCGAGAAGGGATGAACCCAGACCGTGGCCCACATCTGCGGTACGCAACAAATAGAACAAGTTCTGACTCTGTTCCATGTTTAGTCTACCCTAAAATATGTCAAAACCTATGTTTGGAGGAGACCCCAGGTACTTATGATATGTGAAAAACTTGAAACAAAATGTGTTTGGGAAAAAACAATTCAGGGTACTTATCAGAGGCCTCGCCGATGGATGAAGCTGGGACATCCTGGACCAACTGGTGCCAAGTGGATTTGGTCCATCTACAGGGGGTCATTCCCTCATACGACTAGAAAAACACCAGGTCCAAGATGGTCCCCCTGCATCCGCCTAGTGCGACTCACAACCCCCGATTTGTGTGTAGCCCTGCCAACAGCAACATAAACGACACAACACAACATGGGCGAAAAGTATGGGATCCCTAGCTAGTTTGCGTGGGGAATTCGGATGGGACAGCCCCCAATGTCAAAGGGAGCTACCCTAAATCAACAAACAAATTATAGCCCTGCAAATTGTAAGACCTAAGAAAAAAAAGGGCGCCCTGAAAAAAAGGCACACGCGAGCCAGCACCAAAACCATACTTGGTCCCCCAAACCGTCGGCATCGACAGCTGTTGGAAGTCCACATTTACTCTACCTGTGCAGGCAGCAGTTGCCCAATGGGTGTAGGTGCTACAAAATCGGGTGTAAAGACTTGTTGGTCCTGGATGAATTTAGGCGTGACTCCTATCAACTGGCTTCTTCTGGTTCACTGAATGGCCAGCTTAAAGGAAAACCACCTCATCCTTAATGAGCTTTTTTTTCTTTCTGGGGAGTTCCTAGCTTTTACACCTTGGCTTAAAAGTAAAACGCCTCGGCAGGTCTTGGTGTCTTTTTTGGAGGTCGTTGCACTTTGCGCCTTGGCTTAAAAGAAACAACTCGGCATTTATGGGACTCCCAAGTTTTGACACATAGCCATTTGAGTCGCAATCAAAACCCGGCACAAAAATGGTCGACTCAGAACCATTGTTGAAGAACTAAGAAGCCGGATATCCGAAGCTACTTATGGCTGGGAGCGTCCCTTACTCCACCTTCCCTTACCCTCACTTACCCGGGCATCCTTTTCTTACTGGTTGACCTTAAAAGGGGAAAACCCAACCCCAACGAACAAACAAAAAAAAAGAGTTGAAAAGCCACTGGGCGCCACTGGGCGTCCCTTTGACCCCCCATGGCACGGGCCCTTCGCTCCCGGTGGTCGAAGAGGCCCATGGCGTTGCGGCTCGCCGCATAGGCCACCAGGAAGCCTCGACTCGGACCGTCCGGCGCTCCGGCGGTCCGAGCCAAGCCCCGTGGGTGTGGGGGGGAAAACCCCAAAGGGTTCCGGGCGGCACCTGCGAATTTTTGGAGCCATGCCCAAAATCCCGGGTACTGTCCCAAAAACAAAGTGGTGGGGGGATGCGGGCTGTCAGGAGCCGCTGGATTTGTCATCAAAAGTCGATCAATTTACTGGTGAGTTCCATTGAAACGATCGCCACTTTTGGAGGTCCAAAAAAGGGAAATTGGGGGACCAAGCCGAAAGCTCGGCAAAGTCTGAAGAAGAAAAAAAAATGGCTAGAAGGGAAACCCAACGGGAACCAACCAATTTTCATGCAGCCTGGATAATGTCCAACTTTGCGAAACCATTCATTTTGTGGGGTTTAAAGGGACAGCAATAAGAAAACTGATATTCCGTAGACCAAATGGTAGATTTCAAATCTTTGACAAATGTCTGCCTCAAACTAGGGAAAACCATTTTGGGACGGTGTTCAAGGAAAACCGTTACCACTTGGAGTTGCACACTTTGAGAAACATTCGTACTTGCGACGGTTACCATGGTCAAAACTCTTGGGTGATGGTCGTTGAGTCATTGTTCCCAGAAAGGAACCTTTACACTGGAGGCCTAAATTCCGTGTGGGGGTCCACAACCGTCACTTGGCCAACATCTGGGACAGAACATCATATGGCCATGGGTCAAAATCCCATACCCCCAGTGAACATCCAAATCCCCACGAAAATAGACTAAAACGGGTGGTGCACCTACCCCAAAATGGTACCATTGGTTTTGACCCACACCCATATGTGTTGACTCTGTTTCACACTTGGTCAACCCAAAAATCTAGCCCGTTCTTTTGGAGGAGACCCCAGTGGCGATCTGACATCCTCTCAAACTTGCTGGTGTGATAGGTAGGGAATGAGAAATGGAAGGAACCTGTGAATCCCGAACCGCCAGTTGCATGGATTTAAATCGGGGTGCCACGTCTCATTCCCTGACGCGGATCTGGCGCCTTGGTGCGGCGCCAGGTCGCACTCCAAAGCCGCCCGCAGGAAGCCTCGCCGGGGGAAAGAAACTGCGGGTTGTTTCCCTACCGGGAGGGCATGGGAAGAGGGACGGTCCCTAGATCCCTGAAGAAAAGGCATGAGGGCATGAGGGCATGGGAAGAGGTCCCTTTTCTTTAAGGGCATGAGGGAAGGTAAAATACCAGAAAAGGGACACCTCAAAGAACTCAGATGCCCAGTGGATTTCCATGGGAAAAAACAGGGGCACCTATTCTTTTGTTGGGGAGTTTAAAGGGGAACCCTTACTCAAAAGAAGTTGGACAAAAACTCAACAATAAGTTGAAAAACAAAAACTGGGCACCACTGGGCAACAGAGAGAAAGAGAATCGCCAAGAACCAGGGCCCCCTGGTACCTGGGCCAAAACTTGCACCATGGTTGATCACATGTTTCATGTATCTCAGCTGGTTCAGGATCTTGTTTTTTGAAGGTACGGGGTTCAAGTACCTTACCAGGCAACAGACTGCTAGGGAAAGGGAGCAAGAGGAGGGAGCAGAAAGCACAAAAGGAAGGAAACTACAAGAAGGAACGAGAAGGAACAAACAAAACAAACAATGAAGAAGGAAATCAACGCAAATGAACAACACACATGAAACATAAAGCAACAAAAAAAGCAACCCG